GACATTCCCAAGATGTTTTCTTGCATCATACAAAATATTGAAAGAAACTACCCATATCAAGTCAAGGTGTATAGCATTTAATGCCAGCCATTCTTCATTCTAGCCAATGATAGAGATAGTCCTGTTCAAGAAGATACAGACTTGTTTTTCTTTTCCTGATGCCTTCCAGATGTTCTAGGATACAACACAAATGATAGTGAGAGGATATGCATTCCAAGATATTGGGAGGTTGGAAAAAATACAGATACACACATGTTGCAACATTCCCATTACAAGCACTATGGCTACATCTACACTGCAGAACTATTGCAGTTCAGCACCACTTTAACTGCCATGAATTAATGCTATGAAATCATGGGAGCTGTGGTTTTACAAGGTTTTCAGCCTCCTCTTTCAAAAGGATTCCATAGCATTGAGCCATGGTAGTTAGAGTGATGTCAAACTGAATTAATTATGCAGTGTAGGTGTACCCCAAGAATTTCTTTAAGGGGCACAGTTGTGAAGACTTTGGTTTATTGTAGAAACAGAAAGCTGAGATACCTGAAACAAGAATGACTTTTTAATCCATACCTCACACTTCTTAACATTTCAACTTACAAAAATGGATTTTTAAAAAGTTGTTAAAAAGGTGCTCTGCTTTTCCAGTTCTTGTTTATTCTAAGACAAGGATGAGCAAGTTCCAGAAATCCAGGGGCAAATTCACTGCAGTCCACATCAGTTTAAAATAAATGTGGGAAGTGTCCAGTAATCTAGCTTCAAAATTTATTGATCTTTGGGGAAGGAACATAATTGGTTTTAATGCAGAAATTGCCATTTTGGCTAATTCTTTCTCTGTTCTCCCCCAGTTACAGAATAAGAAAGCAAAAAGATTACAGGAGAAAAGCTACTAGAATGAAACTAAAAAAGTCACCTCATCTCCCACCCTGTTAGTCTCAGCACAAACCTAGATTGGATAGTATTTGCATTTCTAATTACAGAATCTGTGAGTGGAGAAATTTGTTGAAACAGTTACCCTCAAAGGGGTAAAATACACAAGCAAGATATCGTCAGAAATGTTTGAACCAAATATTAGGTCTAGGCATAGACCTATACTGATAATTCATTTTAGATACATAGAGACAGAGAACTACATCTTATCTTGGCTTCTACAAGTGTTTCTAACTCACCACTGTAGAATTAATGCAGTTTGACACCATTTTAACTATTATAGCTCAATGCTATGGAATTCTGGGAGCTATAGTTTGATAATATACCAGGCTAAATAAAGATCTAGCAAAACTGCAACTGCAAAACTGAAATGTCAGGAGAGAATGCCTCTAGACCATGGCCATACAGCCCGAAAAAAACTACAACAACCCAAAACTGCAACTGTTATATTGTACCCTTCTGTACCCTCCTTAACTGGCAGGAAAATACAGCAAGCACATGCAATAGTAACATTTCGTTCTCATGGTAATCAACTCCCAAATAGCATCTTGTAATGAAAAGGTACAACAACTGAACAGTATTTTCTAACAGATTTCTCTATCAGGAATAAAAGCTAATACTATTTGTTTCTCGTTGGTTTTGGCAGTAGTGGCTTCTGTTGCCAGCTTTGATTCTATTATTGTTTTTTTGTTCCCAAAAGCTATCCTCTTATCAAGAGCATCCTCTTGTGGTTGAATGTGAAACCACTTTTGGTGCTTGCACACGCAATCTGTTAAAACAAAAGGAAAGGGGACTTGGTTTTCTACAGCTTGTTACTAAAGTAGCTTTAATAGTGGAATTGTATGTGTGCACTGAAATTGCCTACGGACTAAAAGTGAAACCATAATAATAATAATAATAATAATAATAATAATAATAACTTCATTTATATACCGCTTCATCTGCCCGAGGGGACTCAGAGCGGTTCCCAAGTAACATCACAAAACATTTAGAGTAAAAACAACATAACCATAAGATTAACAAATAAAATATAACCATAAAAATTGACGCCATGACACACATATATTAAAAATAATCCTGCCTGTTCAAGGCAATTAAAAATTTAAAAGGCCGGGCCAAGATTTGTGCAAGCCCAAAAATTCCAGGGGGCCTGGGAATTAAGTGCAATGCTATGGCAGGCAACAATAATATTAGGTACGGGGCCAATTAGAGGAAAGAATCTGGGTAACCGGTAGAAAGAATAAGGCTGTATTAGACAATGTGTGGGGCTGAGTTAGAACTGGTCATTTTCAAAGGCTTGTTGAAACCACCAAGTCTTCAAGCTCTTATGAAATGAGGGGAGGGATGGGGCCTGTATTATTTCTCTTGGAAGGGCATTCCAGAGACGGGAGGGGGGGCACCACTGAGGAGGCCCTCTCTCTCATCCCCACCAACCGCGCTTGAGACAGTAGTGGGACCGAGAGGAGGGCCTCCCCAGAAGATCTTAGAGCTCGTGCTGGTTCATAGGAGATGAGATCGCAGAGATCATGAATTTCATAAAGTTTTCTTAGACAAAGAATACTCAGATATGGTTTTGCTAGTTCCTTCTTCTGAAATACTGCCTACAGCACCAAATACTTGTTGGTGTTCACCCATCCAAATGCTAAGCAGGGCTGATTCTGCTTAGGTTCTATGATCAGACAAGATCTGAAACCTTTGGACTTTCTATGTCTCTGTGGAGGTATTTATGTATTTTTCTTTGACACCAAGAGAATGACTTTCCCAAAGACACCCAATATTTATTTATTGTGTCAGAAGCAAGTTGAGGATACAGTTGAAATGCATTTAAAAACACAAAGTTGCATTATGCTAAATGTTCTTTGACTAATAACTGGCCACTTGGAGTGCCTCTGGTGTCGCTGTGAGATCCTCCATTGTGCATGTGGAAGGTCTCAAGTTGCATTGTAGTAGGTAGTCTGTGGTTTGCTCTTCTCCACACTCGCATGTCATGGACTCCACTTTGTAGCCCCATATCTTAAGGGTAGCTCTGCATCTTGTATTGCCAGAGCTCAGCCTGTTCAGCGCCTTCCAAGTCATCCAGTCTCCTGTGTGCCCAGGAGGGAGTCTTTTACCTGGTATCAGCCACTGTGAACATATTAATACACCATGAATACCGTTGAAAAGAAAAACAGGGATAATTTCCTTCTATAAAACTCTAATGATCCAATAGGAAAGTATGCACAAGGGCATTCTGTTGACATAGTGCAGGGAAGACATGCTCGATGACTTGTTCCTTTTCAAAACCAGTCAATAAATATTATTTAACATTGTTAAAATCATGAAGAGAATAATTTTACACAAGCATAACATCTTGATTTCTACAACTCGTTTTAGATCCCAGTTCCTTGGAGAATGTAGGAATTTTTGAATGGCTTAGTATGATTTTGGGTTAACCACACTCCCAAACCACACATACCATTGACCAAAAAGATTCTGTGCAGGGATGCGGAAATATATTTAAAAATATAAATATGGATATAAGAGAAAGCCACTCTCTCTTGGTGGTAACAGCGAGATTTGTGGAAATCTTCATAACAGAGATTTATGTAGTGGAAAAAATAATTGAATATGTATCCTTACTTGAAAAAAGTGATAAGACAGCAAAACCCGAGAGCAAGGGTTTTATTTAAAATAACTGTGTAGTTGGAATACATTAAAAACAAAAGGTGGCAGTCCTTTGGCATCTAACCAACAAAGCTTGAATACCTATTAGAAACTTATCTTTACTACAAATAATTGGCTTAAGAATGCTGCATCGGCAGAATAAGTGGTGACGTGGCAGCTAATCTTCTCTTATACCAACCTTTGCTAGTTTTCTGCTGAATATGTTCTTGCTCTTAAGTGAGTTTAAGTTAGGTTTTACAATGTAGCTTCTGAACTGAACCACATTCCACAGAAGCTACATGATACAGTTCCCAGGCTTAGATGACAGGATATTCATGGCTACAATGAGGCTTCAAGTACTGTAACATCCATCAGGCTGAAAGTATACCATACATAGCTGGGTTTCTATGAATTTTCCGGGCTGTACGGCTGTGTTCCAGAAGCATTTTCTCCGATGTTTTCCTCACATCTATGGAAGGCATCCTCAAAGGTTGCGAGGTCTGTTGGAAACTAGGCAAGTGGGGCTTATGTATCTGTGGAATGTCTATGGTGGGAGAATGAACTCTTGTCTGTTGGAGGCAAGTGTGAATGTTGCAATTGGCCAGCTTGACTAGCACTGAATAGCCTTGCAGCAAAGCCTGGCTGCTTCCTGTCTGGGGGAATCCTTTGTTGGGAGGTGTTAGCTGGCCCTGGCTGTTTCCTGTCTGGAATTCCCCTGATGTCTGAGTGTTGTTGTTTATTTAGTATCCTGATTTTAGAGTTATAAAAATACTAGTAGGAGCCCTCAGTGGCACAGTGGGTTGAACCACTGAACTTGCTGACCAAAAGGTCACAGGTTCAAATCCGGGGAGCGGGGTGAGCTCCTGCTGTTAGACCCAACTTCTGCCAGCCTAGCAGTTCAAGAATATGCAAATGTGAGTAGATCAATAGGTACCGCTTCTGTGGGAAACTAATGGTGCTCCATGCAGTTATGCTGGCCACATGACCTTGGAGGTGTCTATGGACACGCTGACTCTTCGGCTTAGAAACGGAGATGAGCACCAACCCTCGGAGTCGGGGACGACTGGACTTAATGTCAGGGGAAAAGCTTTACCTTTACTTGCCAAATTTTGTTCATTTTCATGGTTTCTTCCTTTCTGTTGAAATTTTCCACATGCTTGTGGATTTCAATGGCTTCTCTGTGTACTATGTGACATGGTGGTTGTTACAGTGGTCCAGCATTCCTGTGTTCTCAAATAATACCATAGCTGCTAAGGTTCTAATATTACTAAGCTGAATCAACAAACTATAATGCACCGCAGGCTTAGATTTCTTATCCCGTAAGGGGCAGAAAACTCATAACACTCACAACAGAGGTAAAGGTCCTCAGCTGCCATCCATTCAATGAAAGTCAAACAAATCAGCCACAAAACAGGCAAAACACAGAGCAGTCAAAATAAATCTTTATTGAATGCCACACTTGACATTCAGGTTACACAAGTGTTTTCCAAGCACTCCCTTCCCTCCACAAAGGATCCCTTTTTATCAGTATTGAAAAGACAAGTTTTAGTTGTAGAAAAATCAACCATATCTAAGAATATTTGATCTGATGATTAATTTTTTCCATTGTTTCACGAGGAATTATGAATGCTAGATGCTTGTGATAGTTCTCTCTCTCGGGTCACTTCTGCCAGGATAATTTAACAGCAGTATAAAAAGTAGCACGTTTTTACATTTTTAAAAGGAATGCAGCTGTAAGGTAAGGGCAACTCATTGTCCACTTCCAACGAGAAATAAATTGGCAAAATGCCCTTATTTAATACCATTTATATATTATTTCAGGTAGTGGTTGCTCAGTCCAATAATTTAGGAGTTTGAGATCAGTCTCTCTTGTCTGGGAATGTAGATCATAAGTCCTCATGTGCATTAAGTGAAGAAACATTGACGGGCGTTTCCTTTTCTGTAAAAAAAAAAAAACCCAACAAATCTTAATGCAACATCTACACAGTTACATTATTAATATCATCTGGGATCCAGAGATGCACATGTTTTCATGCAAAAAGTTTTCAGAGGGAAGTAGATGGAAAGTCCTCTGGGAAGGAGACCAAAAAGCTTCTTTGTACACATAGTACATCATGCAATGTTTGGATCCCGACCATTAAAAAAAAACCCACACAAAATGACAATCCCATTTTGATTAAAAGCTCTTGAGTAGCTTCCCCCAATCAGGTACTTTTGAATTAGACTACACATGACTATGCTATCAGGAATAATGGAGCTGTAATCCAAGCACACTGGAAGGGACAGATTGGAGAAAGCAGCCATAACAAAAACAACAGCAACAACAACAACAACAACAACAACAACTTTATTTATATTCCGCCCTATCTCCCCTGGGGACTCAGGGCAAATTCCAACAAACAAAAGATCAAACCTTCAATGCCTCAATGACAATAAGTACAAATATAATAACTCAGAATAACCCAACATAAAAGACATCTTAAACATAACAACTATAACTTTAATCAAACGTAATCTATCAAAAATGATAAAAAGTGCATATAAAACACCCAAATTAATTTACAAAAGCACCTCAAAGGTTCACAGATGTGCGCATTGATTGTATGGCCAATGATGTTAAATGGGTGAATGTGGACTAACAAGGCATTTATACGTTCTAATCAGCAGTCTGGTAATAGTCTCTCTTTATCTAAACCTCCTCCTCTCCATATACTTGTGAGCAAAGATAGGTTTTCAGCTGTTTTTTGAAGGAGAGAAGGGAGGGGGCAGCTTTATTTCTTTAGAGAGGGAGTCCCTAAAGAAATAATATAAAGTCCCTAATATTACTATGTTATCAAATACATTAACACCATAGTTTTAGCCTTGGGGATAATAAATGAATTGAACTCATGGTGGGCCCTCGGTGTTAGCTGGGATTTGGATCCAGGGTCCTGATGGATGCCAAAGTGTGTGGATGCTCAAATCTAATTGTGTACAAAGGCTTTGGAAAATAAATTCCCTTACATAAAATGGCAAATTCAAGGTTTGCATTTTCAATGGAGGGAGGGATTATTTTTAAGCAATGGACGGTGGAATCTGTAGATATGGAGGGTTGACTATATGGGAGGAGGGGTATAGAGAACAACTAAGAATGATTTTCACATATTTTACAAGGTAAAAAAAAAAAGAAAAATTGAAACCAATTTTAATTTACATTTTATCCCATCCTTTCAAGGAGCTTGGAGCAGGAAGAATAACAAAGACATAAATGGTTCGGCCTCTGTATTCATGGAGTCTGCATACAGAAATTCAAAGATCTATGGTTTGAAAATATTTTTTAAAAATATCTCCAAAGCAAACCTTGATTTTGCCATCTATATATATAAAATCCGAAGTGGCGTCCTACGAGGAAGCAAAACTCAAAAACCCCCCAACAGAAATCAACCAAAATTCCCATGCACCTTCCTTAACCCACTAGGTACAAACAAACAGAATCAGAATTAAGAACAACAAAACAACACATCCACAAAACGACAAAACAACTGAGCATGCGCAATGGCGGCCAGCCGCCAGTTCCCCCGCGCGCGCACATGGCCTGCCGGCCAACGCTCCCTCCACGAAGCCCCGCCCCCATCCTCCCTCGCCACGCAAAGCCGGAGAGCCCAAGTTAGCTTACGTGGAGCCCTTTGCCCATGCAGCCTTCCCTCGGCAGGCAGGAAAAAAAGCCCCAGCCGACGGGAGGAGAGAGCAGCAAAAGAGGCGAGTGCTGGGAAGGGAACGGAAAGGCGGGGGGGGGGAGAGGAGGGGGACAGGCCACGCCCCCATCCTCCATGCTCCTTCACTCCTCCTCCCCAAAGCCGAAGCCCCGCCCACTCCAAGCCCCGCCGCGTCGCACGCCGCCTCAAAGCCTGCTGGGAAAGCAGCAGCAACGGAGCATCCACGGAGCATCCACACAAGGAGGGGGGAGGGGGAGGAGGAAGGTCCACGGTGCTTGAATGAAGGACCTTCTTCTCTCCCTCCCTTCCCTTCTTTCCTTCCTTCCTTTCTTTCCTTTCCTTCCTTCCTTCTCCTTCCTTTCCTTCTTTCCCTTCCTTCCTGTCCATCCTTCCTTTTCCTTCTTTTCCTTCCTCCTTCTTTCCCTTGCTTCATTTCCTTCCCTCCCTCCTTTCTTCCCCTCCTTCCTTCCTCCTTCCTTCCTTCTCCTCCCTCCCTCCCGCCCTCCCCATTTCCTTCCTTCCTGTCCCTTCTTCCTTTCCTTCTTTACCTCCCTCCTTTTCCTCCTTTCCCTTTCTTCATTTCCTTCCCCTTCATTTCCTTCCCTCCCTCCTTCCTTCATCCCCCTCCTTTCTCTCTCTCCTTCCTTCCTCCCTTCCTGTCCCTCCTTTTTTTCCCTTCCTTCCCTTCTTTCCCTCCCTCCCTTCCTTTTCCTTCCTTCCTAACCCTCCTTCCTTCTTCATTTCCTTCTTTTCCTCCCTCCCTTTCCTCCTTCTTTCCCTTTCATTACCTTCCCCCTCATTTCCTTCCCTCCCTCCTTTCTTCATCCCCTCCTTCCTGCCTCACTCCCTTCCTGCCTCTCCTTTCTTTTCCTTCCTTCCTGTCCCTCCTTCCTTCCTTCTTCCTTTCCTTCTTTCTAAGAGATAAATACAATATTAAATGGAAGGGACAGTCAAGAAGTAACAAGAGGAGGGAAAATGGGAAGGAAGGAAGGAGAGAAGCAGGGAGGGAAAGAAGGAAAGAAAGAAAGAGAAGCAAGAAAGGAGAGAAGGAACAAAAGATAGGGAAGGAAAGATGTAACCAAAGAGCAAAGAAAGAGAGGAAAGAAACAGGTAGAGAAGGAAGAAAGATAAGAGATAGGGAAAGAAAAAGAAGAAAGGAAGGAAAGAGGGAAAGAAGGAGAGAAAGAGGGAAGGAAGGTTGGCCACAGCAACGCGTGGCAGGTACAGCTAGTTTTTAGGCCTGTGCGGTTTCGTTCGTTATATTCGTAATTCGTTAAACATTCGTTAATTTTTGCATATACGGAACGATATCAAAACATATTTTCAAACCCGGAAGGGTTTTTAAATATCGAAACGGCAACCCCCACAGTTTTAAAATGTTTTAACGAGCCGTTTCGAAAATGGGGCGGGCGGGCGGCGCGAGCGCACACCCAGTGAGCCAAGCCCCGCCCCTGCCTGTTGGGCGCGAGCGCGGCTCCCGATTGGCCGGCCCGCGCGTGCTCGCCCTTAGGGCACTGGTGGAGTTTGGGGGAAATACATTGACATTTGGGAGTTGTAGTTACTGGGATTTATAGTTCACCATTCTGAACCCCACCAACGATGGAATTGAACCAAACTTGGCACACAGTTCTCCCCTGACTAACAGAAAATACTGGAAGGGTTTGGTGGGCAGTGTCCTTTGGTTTTGGAGTTGTAGTTTACCTACATCCAGAGATCACTGTGGACTCAAACAATGTTGGATCTGGACCAAACTTTGCCGGACCAGGCTTCCCCCTCTTTCCTTCCCCTGGCCCCTTTCTCTTCCCTTCCCCTTCCTTCCTTCCCTTTCTTCTCCTTTCCCCTCCCTCCTTCCCTACCTTCCTTTCCTTCCTTCTTCTTTCTCTCCGTGGTACACCGGGCCAGGCGCTGCCTCCGCTTGTTCTCCTGGCATGGCTGGGAGGGAAGCAGGTGGCGTCTCGTGGCCACGGAGAACAAGAGAGCACAGCAGAAGAAGATCTGCGGCCATGAAGCACCTCCTGTTCCCCTCCCAGCTGTGCCAGGAGAACAAGCGGAGGCGGCGCCGGGTGGGCGTGGCCAGGCAATGCTGGCTTCCCCGGGCCGGCATCTGGGGCAAGGGAAGGAAGGAAGGAAGGAAGAAGGAAAGGAAGGGAGGGAAGGAGGGAGGGGGAAGGAGAAGGAAGGGGAAGGGGAGAGAAAGGGGGAAGGGGGGGGAGGGGAAGGAAGGAAGCATTCTCTCCTGACGTTTTGCCTGCATGTATGGCAGGCATCCTCAGAAATAACGAAGCTTCGGAAGTGTTTTTTACGCATGCGCGGGGGTCCGCCATCTTTACAAAATGTTTTGTAAATATTTACGAAATTTCGTAAATACTGAAACTTTTTTTTGGAAAGTTTTGTAATTATTTTAAATATCGAAACAAAAAAACACCCCAATTACAAATCGATTTTAGAAACAAATTTTTTCTTGATCAAACAGGCCTACTAGTTTTATATAAGAGACACACTATGTCATTGTATGTAATGGGACTTGATTAGCCATGAATATCATTATCCATAGATGTCCTGGAAACAAACCCCAACAGATATCAATAAGCCACTGTCACTTATCCTCAGCAATCAGCTTATGAAGTAGTTTAAACTGGAAAAGTGACTTGCTTAAGGTTATCCATCGAACTTCATGTCAAAGGCTGGATCTAAGATTCCCTTTATCCCAGGGTCTGATCCCAGATTATATGCTCTGTACTGGATTATATGCGTCTATTTACATTGCCAGATAATCTGGGATAAATAGATGATCTGGAATCAGATCCTGGGATATTGGGCAGTGTAGATCCAGCGTAAGTTACTTAAAACTTGATCTCTGTGGTTCTAGTCCAATACACCACACAGGTCCAACAAAAAGCCAATACATTAAAGGTAAGAATTAGTATGAAGACAAACATTGGGAAGGATTTTTTAAAAGTACAAAAAATATTGAACCTCTGTGTACTATGCTAATTATACATTAACAAATTATTTTCCGACCATCATGAATGCGGTTACGAGAGACTCACCAAGTTTTACAGTTGGGATGCAGACACCGTCACTGTCTTGAAAACCTTCTGCACAGGCACATTTGTAACCACCTGGTGTGTTGATACAGTCTTCATTTTCTCTTGTGCACAATTTTTCAGAGAGCGCACACTCATCCACATCTGCAAATGCAACATAACCACAATGGACAAAAACAGATTCTATTAATACCCTTGAAACTAAATGCTGAGACACCCTTGTGACGGGACTGAGAATTAGTTCCAGAAAATAAAAGAACAAAAGATAATTTGAAAAAAATCTGAATGTTGACTACAAAAATCCAATATCTAACCTGTGCATTTTTCCTCCTTCATTTCATAGCCTGATGTGCAGCTTTTACATCTGCTGGACCCCTCTCCTGTGCACTCCAAACAGCTTGGATCACATGCTAAAAATGGAAAACAAGTCTATCATTTTCAAAATACAGGAATACCCCAAGTTACAAACATCCAACTTACAAATGACTCATAATTAAGCATGGGGATGAGACAAAGGAAGTGAGACAAATCTACCCCTCAGAAAGGAAATTCACTCCTGAAAGACTTACCATGGACAAAAGGGGTCTCCAGTGAGCTCTATCACCAATCCTTGTTCCCACAACAAGCTAAATGTTTCAAAATACAATCATCACAGGGACAGAAAGTGAAGTGAAATCTTTTGAACAGTGGCACGGACTGCTAAACCAACACCACAGATTGTTTACCCTTCCCTATGCAATCCAAACCACTCTCTCTCTCTAGCGGGTTAAACTGCTGAGCTGCTAAACTTGCTGACCGAAAGGTTGACAGTTCAAATCCAGGGAGTGGGGTGAGCTCCTACTGTTAGGCCCAGCTTCTGCCAATCTAGCAATTTGAAAACATGCACTCCATGCAGTCACTCTGGCCACATGACCTAGGAGGTGCTACGGACAATGTTGGCTTTTCAGCTTAGAATTAGAGTCAGACACGATTAGACAATGTCATGGGAAACCTTTACAATATACAGTGGGGAAAAAAGTATGTAGTTAGATACCGATTCTACAAGTTCTCCCACTTAAAAAGACAAGAATCAGAGCAAATACTTATTTTCCACCATAATTTGCAAATAAATTTGTTACAAATCACACAATGCGATTTTCTGAGTGTGATTTCTCATGTTGTCTCTCATAGTTGAGGTCTAACTATGATGCCAATTACAGGCCTCTCTCATCTTTTTTAAGTGGGAAAACTTGTACCATTGGTATCTGACTAAATACTCCCCCCCCCCCCCCCCCCCCCCACTGTATATATTGTAAAGGTTTCCCCTGACATTAAGTCTAGTCTGGAGTTACACTTAGAAAATGTACCTGTTCTGAATTATATGCAAATTCAACTTAGGAACAAACCTACAGAACCTATCTTGTTTTTAGCTTGGGCACTGCCTGTAGTGGAAGATGCAACATCATATTTAGTTCTCAGCCATTTCTCCCTATGGACTGAGGCAGGGAACAACATATTAAAATACAATCAGTTGAAAACACATAACTTAGTTAAAACATCAGTTTAAACAATATACAACCAATACATATGAAGACAACCAGTATATAATTGAAAAATCATCTGGATAGGCTTGCCAGAAGATGTTTGCTTAAAGCTTGCTTACAGTAAAATGCTGGTACTCACAGATGTCTCTATGCAAATAAAGATTAAGTTGCAGAAGTAAGTGATGTTAACAATAGCAGATAAAGCATTGCCACAGGTATTGTTTTCACACACAGAAGTGGCTAAAAACTCTCTTGTTAATGGCTCAGTAACTCCAATCCATCTTTTATTACACATGTCAAATGAGTGCTGAATCCTACCTAAAATACATTCAGCACTGCGGATAGCTCATACAGAAATCTCTGCAGTTCTGTATTTTTAGGCCAGAATCCAAGGGTGTCATTTTCTAATAGCAAATCGTATTTGCACTTACAGACAACTAGATTTGGCCTTGTGCAAAAGGCAGAATGCCTGAAGACTAAAGGAAGAAAGTGTGCTTCTTAAACGGTGAGTCCCAACTACAAATGGAGTCCTCTTAATTCAATGCCAGGTATACAAAAAAATTGGAAACAGTAAAAAGTTTCTGAATGCCACCCATTTACGCAAATCTGTTAGCAACAACATGCCACATTTACAGTGGACTCTTCAGAAAATGCTCCACAAAAAGGGAAATTAATCTGTTTAGCAAGTCCTGCAAATGCTGATTAATTTTATTGTATATATTTTGTGTCACGTAAAAATCTCTTGGGAGGAAAAAGGTCACATGGGGAAAATTTTTAAGAAGTCCTGTGCTAAATTAACACCAAAACCTGCCTGGTAATTTTTAGACAATAAAAAATGTAACATATTTACGTTCTCCCTTTTAAGTCTCCTTAACCCCAGTTCTCATCTATTTACATCTTTTGCTCTGAACTTAAGGTCCTTTTCTCACAGACTTTGCTGAGAATCAGTTCTATTTTATTCTTTACTCCTCAGTGCAGTCAATATTTACTACCTGCCTGGCTTTTTCTAACATCAGCACCACATCTTTTCCAGCAATAAAATCTCTTTCTTCTTGTTAACTGTATCTTTTTAAACAAATATTTCACCTTTTACAATAATGAGAACAGGAAAACAGTGAAGCAGGGCATATCCTGTATGTTATCTAATATTTTCTAAAATTAAACAGGAAGCAATTTTGTTAACCAAGTGAGCCCCCTTCACACACCAGCTTTAACATTTGTTTTAGCCAATGGAAAAATTAAACAATCTCTCTCAAGTTGTTTAAATTACATATATATTGAAAAGAAACCTTTGCATGAGTATGAGCCATCCGTGTTTAAACAATATTGATCAGTCTTGCAAGGAGAGTCCTCTACAGCACATTCATCCACATCTGAAAAAGTAACAAGAAATGCAATGTCAGTAAGGTCTAGGAATGAAATATTTTAAGAAAAAAAATCTGATAAAGCAAAGAACTCTTTATTTCTCATTCCCATGTCTGCCACATGAATATTCTGGAAAGTTCTACAGCTTTAAAGAACAGGGAAATATAACAACAGTAAAGTGCCCCCAGTGGCACAGCAGGTTAAACCGCTGAGCTGCTGAACTTGCTGACCGAAAGGTCGGTGGTTCGAACCCAGGGAGCACAGTGAGCTCCCACTGTTAGCCCTAGCTTCTGATAACCTAGCAGTTCTAAAACATGCAAATGTGAGTAGATCAATAGGTACCGCTCTGGCAGGAAGGTAACAGCACTCCATGCAGTCATGCTGGCCACATGACCTTGGAGGTGTCTACGGACAACACCAGCTCTTTGGCCTAGAAATAGAGATGAGCACCACCATCCAGAATCAAACACGACTAGACTTAATGTCAGGAAAAACCTTTATCTTTTTAAAGTGTCTTACCATGAACCTATCCACAGTTGTGCATTTGCAGACACATCTCAGTCGACTCAGACCCCTTCTACAGTGCCATATAATCCTGTTCAAATAATGTGGATTTTATATGGCAGTGCAGAAGGGTCACAGCTCTGAAGACTAGGGTTTAAATGGCTACTCAACTATGGAAAATCATTGGAAACACATTTGAAAACAGAAGAACGGTCTGCCTCAGGGGAACGTGCTTGCTCCATCAATGTTTAACATTTACACAAATTATCAGCCACTTCCTGAAGGGACAGAATTTCATCTATGCTGATGACTGTGCCATAACCACTCAAGCAGGGAGCTTTGAAATGGTTGTACAGAAGCTCTCCAAAGCCCATTACAGAGAAAACCAGCTGATTCCTAATCCATCTAAAATGCAGACGTGTGCTTTTCTCTTTAAGAACAGATAAACATCTCAAGCTTTGAGGATTCCTTAAGAAGCAATCCCACTGGAGCATCGTATCATACCAAAATACTTGGGAGTTACCCAGGACCACGCAATGACTTACAGGAAGCACTGCTTGAATATCAAGCAAAAAGTGGGTGCTAGAAATAATATCATACGAAAGTTGACTGGCACAACCTGGGGATCACAACCAGATACAGTGAAGACATCTGCCATGGACCTTTCTACTCTACTGCTGAATACACATGCCCAGTGTGGAATACATCACATGTTAAAACAATGGATGTGACTCTTATTGAGACATGCCGCATTATCACAGGATGTCTACACACCACTGGAGAAATTATACTATTTAGCTGATATTGCACCACCTGACATCCATTGAGAAGTAGCAGCCAATGATGAAAGGACCAAAGTAGTGACATCTCAGGCCCATCCTCTGTTGGGATATCAGCCAGCACGCCGACAGCTTAAATCAAGAAATATCTTTCTAAAGTCGAGAAAGATACTTGCAAGAACACTTCTGCAAGCATGAATCCAAAAGTGGTAGGTTAAAACCTCGGACCTTAATCAGTAGCTGAGACCAAAGGGGAAAATCCCTCCTGGGCACACAGAAAATTGGGAGACCTGGAAGGCGCTGAACAGGCTGCACTCTGGCACCACGAGATGCAGAGCTAACTTAAGAAATGGGGCTACAAAGTGGAGTCCATGACATGCGAGTGTGGAGAAGAGCAAACCACAGACCACCTACTACAATGCAACCTGAGCCTTGTCACATACACAATGGAGGAACCTTCTCACAGAGACACCAGAGGCACTCCAAGTGGCCAGCTTCTGGTCAAAGGACAATTAGAATAATGGCAATTTTGTAAACTTTGTTTGGGTTTTTAAATGCATTTTAACTGAAACCTCAACTCGCTTCTGGAACGATAAATAAATATTGGGTGTCCTTGGGAAAGTCACTCTTTCGGTCTCAAAGAAATGGAAAGTCCCATTTAAACAAATCTTGCCAAGAAAACTCTGGCAGCAAGTTTCCTCTAAGGTCACCAGAAGTGACTTGAAAACACACAACTGAGAGTGCATATAATTAATGCACTTTAGTCTTCTAAGAACCTATTTCCAACGAAAGCAGTGAATGTTACTAGTTTTGCATCAGCTGGACTCACTCACCTACACAGGCATCTTCATTTCTACTCCAGCCTTCTTTACACTCTTTACAATCTGTATTAGTTGCACCAGTGCATGTTTTACATGAATCATGGCAAGCTGTTAAAACAAAGCAACATGTGATAAACATTTTTGCATGAATTTCTTCAAAAGCCATTTACTACGACAACAGAACAAAGGAAGTTTGGCTCTATGGGAATATTCTTGCTCAAGTCTCAAATTAGTTTAGAAATCAGTCTTGCAGGATAATGTGAGGAAGAAAAAAACAAACAAACAAACAAACACTTTTCTATCCCACCCATTGCAAGGACATTTCTCTCTTCTGTGTTATATAGTGCTATATTTAGCTTGCCCTGGGGACTGACAAGTCTTTATGATGCTATATACTTTGTGTGTGTAAAAGAAGAGTAAGATTCTTGAGAGTGTAAAAGGGAAAGATGTAATCTTCTAACTTATCTTTCGTACCTGAACCTTCAGGTACAAAGATGGTATCATTGTTGGTTTTTAGGTCATAGCATACACCTTCAACCCTGACATTAGACACATAAATGACCTTGAGATGACTATTTTCCTTTTTCTCTAGGTTTTTCATCCTTCCTCCTGCTTCACCAACTAACCTCACTGATAATTTTTAGCTCAATGGTCTGCAATATTCTGTCCAGAAGATTCAGTTTTCTTTCAGCTGTTTTTTTATTAGGCTTTTAAAAATATATATATTTTCTGCACTGATTTTCCTGGGATAAAATTTTATTTGCTCAATGACATTTTTACTTTGTATTTTTTAGACACATGTTTACTTTCTTTTATTTTCCCCTGATAGGTATTTGCTGAATATATTATCTAAAATTACTGAATGTCACAGCTGGCATATACTTGGTGAACAAATGGATGTTCTAATCTGTATTGTCAATCCAAATGTAATATTCCCTCCTCTGTTTCCTAGCTTGGTTGAAAACAAAAACAAAAAAGAAATAAAGCTGTAAGAAAAAAGCTGTTCCAGAATTGCATTATAGCAAAGACACTCAATATGGCTGCTATTAACAGACATATTGGTCAGTTCTCTTGCTGTTCAAATCTTTATCAACTATAACAAGATTTGGTGTGAATTTCATCTTAAAGCTTAGTTTTCATTTAGCTGTGAGACCTGCATTTCAGAATGAGGCAGGTTTCAAAAAAATATGTGTGTAATTAAACCTATTTTTAAAAAGTTTAATTAGGTCATTAGTTTTGTTATGTAGCTTTACTCAATGACATGCTATTCAATTGAATATTTAAAATAGATTTTAAAATATATGCAAAGCATCTCACTTATCAAAATAGTGAAATAATCATGGATGTGTAACTTGAAAAGGCTACCGGGTTGATAGGTAAATAAAATCTCTATGCATTTCAGTGCTATCAACAAAACATACATTAATATTTCTGCAGGGCAGCAAATACCATATATACTCAAGTATAAGCTGACCCGAATATAAGCCAAGGCACCTAATTTTACCACAAAAAACATGGGAAACCATATTGACTCAATTATAAGCCAAGAGTGGGAAATGCAGCAGCTACAGGTAAATTTCAAAATAAAAATAGATACCAATAAAATTACATTAATTGAGGCATCAGTAGGTTAAATGTTTTTGAATATTTACATAAAACTAATTTATGATAAGACTGTCTAACTCTGATTAAACCATTATTCTAATCTTCTTCAAGGTGTATGTGTTTACGTATCCCTCCAATATTAATGGAGACAGTAAAATAATAAATGTAATAAATATAATAGAATAAAATAATCCATGTAATAATAAAATAGAGTAGAATAATAAATTTAATAATAATTCTAAACAGAGTAAAATAATACATGTAATAACAATAATAAATAGGGTAAATACTAAATGTAATAATAATAATAATAATAATAGCAATAACAACAGAGTGCATTGATAAATAACTTTGACTCGAGTATATTTAACGCTTTTTCAGCCTTAAAAAAAGGGTTGAAAAACTCGGCTTATACTCAAGTATATATGATAACTGGGTGGATACAAATTAAGAGGGCCGGATTCAATGTTGGCTTTCTCTTAGCATAGAGAAATGGGAAGACAGCGACTTTACCTTCTCACTGCAATTAAAAAGTGCACCTCTGAAGCTGCCTGAGAGGTCTGGAAAACGCTTCAGAGTTTTGGAGTTGGTTTCAGGGCTCTAGGGAGGATGGAAAGCTAGGTTTTGTAACACTGGCACCAAGTGTCAGATAAGAATTGGGCTAAATCATATAGTCAATCTGTAACAATAATTTATAGAAATCACAATGTGAAATCTGATAGCTATGTGAGACGCAGGATAGGTCTAATGGGAACTCTGATGTTTTTTCTTTCAGTGGCAGATGTCACATTACAATCAATTTTAATTTAAAAAAGCATTCAGCTGTAGCAGAAAAAGTATTTGGAGAAATCTGAGTGTTTTCGGGTGCCTTGTGACACATAAAGCTCATGGTTTTACCTGTACAAATAGAATGTGTATCATTTCTGTAAGAGTTGTAGTAGCCATTGGAGCAGTCCAAACAAAATTCTCCTGTGTATTCGTTTTTACAGCTGCATGATCCATCTCCACTTCTTGTACCATCTCCGTCGCAGCGCCCATTTCCATGGCAAGGTCTTTCGGATCCCCCACGGCAAGCTTAAACAATGTAAAACATGGCTTTGATTGTTTGTGCAAATAAAACCCAAAAGCACAATTTGGAAGTCAAGTGTCCAAAGAAAGAACATTACTGCAATATGTCACTTTGGGGATAATGACACTATCATTTTCGGCATTTAAAGAGTCATCTTGGAAACTCCTGCTGCTGATGTATTCCTTATTTCCTAGCCCATGGCTATCTTTGTAATCTTCCACTGAGATCATTACTACTGGAACTAAATATCTATCTATCTTTATCTACCTACTTGAATGCTGGCCAATGATTATACCAATACTGCTGATTGACTGAATGGGATTGCGGTACTTGAAAAAAATAATTTGAGACAAGTCCTTCAACGTATCCTACATCAAATTCCCTTTAAATCCAGCTCATCTCTAGATGCAAATATTTTATTTTTAAGCAGAATTGAGCCTTTACCGTATAAAGATATGAATTAGAAGTTATGCCTACTATTAGTATGAATATATTCCAGTACTTCTTTCAAAAAACATTGTTCAGTTACCAATACAGTCTGGTCCATGTGTTCCAGCAGGACAGCAAACTTCAATGGTTTCTATACAAAGCCACTTGAACAAATCAGGGTGCTTCTTCTTCCTATAAACATGAGAAAATGATACATATCTTGAAAGAAACACAAGATTACTGTATGGGATGCATCTACACTGTAGAATTAATGTAATGTGACATTGCTTGGTTCAAACTGCTTTAATCCAATGCTATAGAATCCTGGGAGTTGCAGTTTTATTAGGTTTTTAGCTTTTTCTGCCAAAGGATGGTGTTGTCTCACCAAACTACAAATTCCAGGATTCCATAGCATTGAAGTAATGCAGTTTGAATTAAGCCGTGTCACACTACATTAATTTTACATTGTAGATACATCCTGTGACTGCATATGTCTGCATGGTTATATGAAACATTACATTTTTGCCTGAAAAGGAATAAAAAACCAGCAGAAGTTCTAGAGAATCTTGATTCAAATTGTCAATGAGAATTCCCCAGTTAAGCTGAATAATGACCTTTAAATAGTTTATTGCTTTATCTTATCACGTTCCAACACTAGCTAATGAACTTTCTGCTTCCTTTCTAGCACATTTCCTCACAACCTCCTTGTTGACATTAGGAAAATAAGACCAATGACTGGTACTAATATCAAAGAAAAACAAATAGTTGTATTACTACTTCTTTTGTGTTTAGAAGCAGGTACCCCCATCAGTTATAAAACTGTCCATTTCTATATTTGGAAATCTCTTATCAAACATTTAAAATACAAACAGCAAGGTATATCACAATGACGAAAGCTGCAATCCATATTCTGGAATATGAAATAAAAAATAAAAAGCTGTCACATATTCATACTATTAAATCTAACCAGAAGCAATTTTTCAGAGTTTCAGAGCAGATTCACTCATAGCCCTATCTGGCAATTCCTGGCAACCATTCATCCAAGTTCTCAACAGGCCTCAAATTCTCTTAAGTACAGCCAATCCTGCTCCTGATTCAGACACATATCATTTTGTGCTGACCTATTTTTCACCCCTTGTTGACCTATCAAACTTTAAATGTAAAAACAGAAAAAAGATTTCTTGCCTGACACCTCAATATGAGTTAGTTTGTATGCAAAATTATTCAGTGTGTATGTGTGTGTCATAAAAACTACTGAATAAAAGCAAAATGTGCAGGTATATATTAAAACTGGAAAGCTGGTGTGGCAAGAGTACGGCTAAATGATTATATGAGGAAAAACCAATTTGCCCTTTTGATCTGAAGTGGAGTGGCCAGAGCTGTTATTTAGCTGTGTACAACAAACGTGAATCCATAGAAATTTATCATGAATTTTGCAAAATAGTGCCTTGGTCATAACAGAATGTTTTATACCCCCACCAGTACATTTAGCAGCCACATTCACCAGGACTAAAGTAAGGACCACTAGAAAAGAAAATACCCACTCAGAAAATTGTCAAGCATCCTTATTTTTTTTTCTTAAAGGTACAACAAACAATGGCAAAAATGCTCCGATTAGTAAATCAACTTGATGTTTCAAGCCATTGTTTTAATTCATCAGTCACCTATCTAAGCAGAAGGATGTTAGAATCAGTCTCAATTTGCTGTATTTCTCTGTCTTGCACTTCCTTGACTCCCATTTTCTTCCTGTCCCTATTTGACATCCCAATTACAAGATTTAGTCTACTTCTATTCACAAAAATACATGCGTATTTTGGTTTGCACATTTTCAGATGTATGTACTTTTTAATGCGTGTGTCTGAGAACACTTGTTTACTGTTCTCAAGCACATGCATCCAAGCAGTCTTGAAAATCATAAATGGGAAAAAATCAGGTTAAAAACTGATAAATGTTAAAGCCTATGGCATTCCTACTTAAGAAATTAAGGAGGGGACATTCCTCACTGATATGATCACTAAACTCCTGCCCTTTGTTTTATTTAGCTCCCTATAAACCTGTGGTGATGGGGAATGAGAAGAAAAGCATCAAATATAATCTGACCTTTATTTGCACAGGTAGTTCTGAGAATGCCTGTTGAGACTACCAGTAATTTTTTTAAAAAAATCCTCATCTTGTTTATATTACTCACACTTAAACAGAGATCTACAATTTTGTGATTAAAGCCTGTTAGATTGGCAATGCCTTACAGAATATCAGAAAATTGTTTTATACACAGATTTTAAAAATTATCTTTTTAATTAAAACTGTACTCTTTTGCCTTAAAATGCTCTATTCCATTATTGAAATCACTACAACTGTCAAATGTCATCACATTATTTTACTCACCATTTGAACCACCAGGTCTCTATATGCTCTTCATGTTCCTCTACCATGTTGTTGCATTCAAAATTGCTACTGTCACATAGGTTCTCGATGATTTCTACAAGACGAATTTCACTACATAAAAAAGATAAAATATTATCAAATGATAGCTCAACAAAATAAACTAAGCCTTCTTTTACAAATAAAAAGTAAAGAACAGTGTTATTATCAGGTACTGTTATCACATAAGCTACCAACAGGAAGTCTAATTTTTAAATCCAAGACTGTGGAACTGTTGGATATCCAAATAGTTTGGACTACTGTCCATGCTGACTTGCACTTCTGGGAACTGAAAGCTCAGACATCTAGAGCATCAACAAGTTTTGTGGGTTTACATTTGAAGGGGGGAATAGATGTCTCACTGCAGCTTGAAATAACCTGAAGCATGCTTGAGTTCATAGAAGGTAATGCCACATAATGGAGTTCATGTCCAAAAAAATACTAAATTAAACATGGCCATATAGTCCGAAAAACTTACAACAACCCAGTGATTCCAGCCATGAAAGCCTTCAACAATAAAATTTAATAAATAAATAGAAAAATGAAATATAGGTGGTAGTACATTGTTAGCTAGGAGTAGAATATTATGCACAGATCAAAATGTATCGAATCACTTTGGAACAGGGCTTTATAGCAAAGGTATTGCATATCTTCTGCACATTATTTTTTATTTCCTGGAAAATTTGTTCAGATAGATTTGGTAACTTTTGGAAGAAAACTCCACGTATGTGTTTGTTTTCATGTTCTTAAAATGTCAGATGTCTTTCTCATTTCCACCTGTCTTCCAGAAAAGAGAAGTGGCCACTTTAAAATTGTGGGCTTACTTAACTTTTTCAAGATTTGAATTTTATATTCTAAGTCCTGTCCCATTGAACTTTATCAGAATTTTAAAACTATGTGCATTGAAACTGGGACAAATATCTATTGTGTTATTCCTTGAATAAGAAACCAAACTTCATGGACTCCTGACTTCGGCTTCTATTTCTCTTACAATTTGTGAAAGCCTCCGAAACAGAATCCATGGATATGGAGGGCTGATTATACAGTGTTGTTCAGGTTTAATCACATAATAACAAACAGGTAGACCAAGATATTACATCCCTGACAGTGGGGAAATGAGAAAGAAAACACATACCATACCTGGACTCATATTTAGATAGTGTTTTTTCTTCCCAAGCTGTATTGCCACCTCCAAAGTTCTTTTTTGCAGTATCTGTTAGACCCTGTAGAACAGGAAATACATTTATGCTTCATATATACTTTATACACACAGTATGAAAGTCGTTTTATACATATTGTTAAAAATTTTGTGCATGAAACAAGGTTTGAGCCATAAAGGGGGCACTGACAGGAAGTTGCTGCTAGCTGTGAGAGAAATAAGGTTGAACACTGTGAAAGTCACCCACTACATGACTATTAGCCTCCTCCCAGTAGACTCAAATCAAGTAAAAGTTTCATGAGCCATTTACAGCTTTATAGGCTAAAGCCAGCACTTTGAATTGTGCTCAGTAGCAGACTGGCAGCCAGTGGAGTTGATATAACAGGGGATTTGTATGCTCCCTCCAGTGAGTAACCTGGCTGCCGCCCATTGGGACTACTTAGAGCTTACAAACAGTCTTCAAAGGCAGCCCCACGTAGAACACATTGCAGTAATCTATTCAAGATTTAATGGCCAGCTTGGCCAAGTCTGATTTCCCAAGGTATGGGCACAGCTGGTGCACAAGTTTTAATTGTGCAAAAGCTCCCCTGGCCACCATAGAAGCCTGGGGTTCCAGGCTCAGCGATGAGTCCAGTGCAGCACAGGCCAATACAAGGAGTATTTCTGTCTTCATTCAATTTCAATGTATTCACCCTCATTCAGCTCATCACAGCCACCAAGCACCAGTTCAGGACCTGAACAGACTCCTTAGTAGCACATCAGAAGGAGTGATAGAGTTGGATGTCATCTGCGTACAGATGGCATCAAACTCCAAGACTCCTGATGATCTTCCCCAATGGCTTTATGTAGAACCCTGTGGGACCCCACACAACAAAGGCTGCGGTGTTGAGCAGATGTCACCCAACAACTTCTGAGACCCTCTAAGAAGGACTGGAGCCACTGCAAAACAGTACCTCCAAGGTCCATTCCCTTAGGGCATCTCTGAAGGATACTGTGGTCTATGGTATCAAAGACCGCTAAGAGGTCTAAGAGAACCAGCAGTGACACACTCCCCCTGTCAAGTTCACTGCGTAAATCAGTGGTACTCAACCTGTGGGTCCCCAGGTGTTTTGGCCTACAACTCCCAGCCAGTTTACCAGATGTTAGGATTTCTGGGAGTTGAAGGCCAAAACATCTGGGGACCCACAGGTTGAGAACCACTGGTGTAGATCATCCACTAAAAAGATGAAAGCTGTTTCAGTTGTATGGCCCGGTCTAAAGCTGGCCAATGAATCCACTCCAGGCTTTAAACAGAGTTTTCAAGGCTTGCCCCAACATGCTGACTCTTATTTTAAGGGCAGAGTTCAGCACCTTGGAGAGCTCCATTGAAGTTCCGAGTAAACTCCAGAATGGCTTAGCTAACACCTCTGATTACCTGGCATGTAGTGTGGCACACTCTTTTACTTTACATTTTATTAGTAGTGACATTTTAATTTTTTTCTATGTATTGTTAACATATTATTGTGCTCACATGTGTATATGTCATACCCTGTCTCAAGCAATGAGAAGTGAGGGAAAACAAATACAATTCACTATTATTACTAGCGTATTTATTTATTTACTTATTTATTTACTGTGTTTGTATACCACCTTTCTCAGCCCGCAGGTGACTCAAGGCGGTTTACAGGGTAAAATTCAATGTTTACAATAACATAAATACAATTAAAACATTAAATATAATAAAAACTAAACAGAATCAATAAAATATAAATCCACAGTGTCTCCTTGTTAAAAACGTTGTCCGGTCTTGTTGTCTAGTCATTCCGTTATCCTATGTTAATCACTCTGCATTTGCAAACGCTTGCTCAAAAAGTCTTGACTTTTTATACCTGCCATTGTCTGGGTGTCAGAAGGGCTGCTGGTCCTGCTTCCTCCCTTCTCCAGCTTTGAGAAGCCCTACCTGATGTTACCATAGCAACGCTTAGGCAACAGCAGACACGCTCTTATTTATGGCATTTATATGCCCCCCTTCTCACCCCAAAGGGGACTCAGAGCGGCTTACAATATATATTTTCATACAATATATTTCTTTCTTTTCATTCCTCCATTTTCCTTCCTTCTCCCACTCTTTCTTCCTCATAAACCTTCTCCCCTTTTCTTTCTTTTCTTAGCCTTCCTCCTCACATACTTTTCCCACTTTTTTTCTCTCCCTTCCTTCCCTTTTTCTTTCTCTGACCTTCTCCCTTTCCATTCTTTCCTCCCTTCCTCTCAGATGCATGTCACCTAGCAACAGCCAATCCTCCTCACTTCCTTTCCTTTCCAGTTAAATGGCCACTTCACCTACCCAACCTACTTTGTTGTTTTTCTTTCCCTCGGCGCTGGGTTCAAAAGGGGTGGGTTGTTTAAGTCCAAACCACTCCATTATTTTAAGTTGAATATTGATGGGTCTGTGTGCCAGGTGTGGTTCAGATCCATCAAGCCACATAGGAGCCTTTGTGGTGCAAACCAACTAATCTTTAAGCTGCTCGACCAGGCGTTCTGAACTTCAATTCCCAGAATCCCCAGCCAGCTGAGCCAACTGCCAGGAATTCTGGGAATTGAAGTCCAAGACACCTACAGTGATGCCCCTCCCCGGTCGCCCCCTCCTCACCTTGCCGAAGCGCTCGGTGATGCCGCGGCAGGTCTCGCAAGCCTGTCGGAGCCGCTGGTCGGAGCCGGCAGCCAGCCCAGGCAGCGCGAAGGCGGCGAGGTAAAGCACGGCGAGGGCCATGGCTCCTTGGCTGGCTCACTCGGCCCACCGGCCGGGCAATGCCAGCGAGAGGACGCCGGCTCCGCGCCGGGGCCATTCAGAATCCTCATTCGCGCGACGCAGCCAATCGCGAAAGCGCCTCGCGCTCGGAGTCTCGGACGTGGTCCAATCGGAGCTCGCCACGCTCTGAGCCAATAGGAAGCCCACGTGTAGAGAAAGGGGGGAGGGGAGTAATGAAAGACCTGTCGCTGAGCCATAGATTTATAAATAATTAGAATCACACCGTGTTAGAACTTCTGCGTTCATTTTTTTAAGGAGCCAAGAAAAGGAAATGCCCTTGAACTGTGAATAAGCTCCACGTGGTTAGTAGTGGAACTGGCAAGAAAACGAAGACCAATCTGTTGAAGCTTTTCATGGTCGGGATCACTGCATTGCTGTGAGTTCTCCGAGCTGTATGGTCATGCTCCAGAAGCATTTTCTCCTGACCTTTCGCCCACATTTATGGCAGACATCCTCAGAGGATATGAGGTCTGTTAGCAACTAAACAAGTGAGTTTATATACCTGTGGAATGTCCAGAGTGGGAGAAAGAGCTGTTGCCTGTTTGAGACAAGTGTGAATGTTGCAATAGACCACCTTGATTAGCATTGAATGACTTTGCAGCTGCAAAGCCTAACTGGTTGCTGTCGTTTAGCGGATTTCAGTGGGCTAGAAACCCGCTGCTCGCTCTATATGGTGATGCATCATCACTCTTTGGCAGAAAGAGCTGAAGGTCTTGCTAAAAGTCCTAGAACATGTGGTGTCCTCACAACTCCAAGGATTCTTGGTAGACACATCTAGATCAGGTACAGTCTGGCTTTAGACCGGGACATGATACCGAAACAGCCTTGGTTACTGGGTTGTTGTAGGTTTTTTCGGGCTATATGGCCATGGTCTAGAGGCATTCTCGCCTGACGTTTCGCCTGCATCTATGGCAAGCATCCTTAGAGGTAGTGAGGATGCTACCTCTGAGGATGCTTGCCATAGATGCAGGCGAAATGTCAGGAGAGAATGCCTCTAGACCATGACCATGTAGCCTGAAAAAACCTACAACAACCCAGTGATTCTGGCCATGAAAGCCTTCGACAATACACAGCCTTAGTCACCTTAGTAGATGATCTAGGCCAGGAACTAGACAGGGGGAGTGTGTCCCCTTTTCTGCTGGTCCTCTCAGCTGCCTTTGAAGACTGCCCGGAAGCTTCAATTAGTCCAACCGTCAGCAGCCAGGTGGCTCACCGGAGCGGCGTACAAGGAGCATACAACTCCTCTATTACGCCAGCTCCACTGGTTGCCAATCTGCTTCCGAACACAATCCAGTATTGGTTTTAACCTTTACAGCTCTAAACGGTTCTGGCCCAGACTACATGTCTGAACGTATCTCCAACTACGAATCATCACAAAGTTTAAGATCATCTGGAGAGACCCTGCTCTTGATCCCACCGCCGTTGCAAACGCGATGGGTGGAGACAAGAGACAGGGCCTTCATAACAGTGGCTCCTCGTCTGTGGAATTCTCTCCCCAAAGACATCAGACTGACCACCTCCCTCATGCCCTTTAGAAGGAAACTCAAGACTTGGCTGTGGGACCTTGCATTTGACCATTGAACAGCGGCTTGTATGAAGAAGACATAAGCAATTTTTAAGTGAAATGAATTGACCCGGACCCGGATTTTAATTGGCGTGTTTTAACAACTGTTTATTTAATGTTTTGTTTTAATAACTTTGTTGGTTGTTTTTATCATTATAATGGCACCGGCTGTGAGGCTGCCCTGAGTCCCCCCTCAGGGGTGAGAAGGGCGGGATACAAGTATAGGAAATAAATAAATAAAATATGATTCCATGGGAGTTAAAGTGGTCTCAGTCCACCTTAGTTCTACAATGTAGAGGCACGCAAAGTGGAACTGTGAAGTTCAGGGTGATGGGATTTTGAAAGAAGTTGTTGCATGGGTTTATGTGGACACAAAATAAATCTATTCTATGCAGTTTGACTGCCATAATTGTATGCTATGGAATACAACATTGGAGTTGTTGTTTTTTAAGCTCTTTTCGCCTTCTCGGCCAGTGGTTCTCAACCTGGGGTCCCCAGATGTTTTTGGCCTTCAACTCCCAGAAATCCTAACAGCTGGTAAACAGGCTGGGATTTCTGGGAGTTGTAGGCCAAAAACATCTGGGGACCCCAGGTTGAGAACCACTGGACCAAACTACAACTCCCAGAATTCCATAGCATTCAATCATGCTAAAGTGGTGTCAAACTGGATTCATACTTCCACGATGTAGATGCACCCCACATTAATTCACGGAGAAGGTTTTTAAAATATCCCTGGTGTCCTTACAGTTGGCAAAGATACCGGGAACTATCAGTTGAAAAGAACGTAAAAGGATGAACAACACAAAGGGAAACTATGGAACTCTTTGCCCTCACTGAAGATGACTGCTGGGAGTCGTCTTCCCTACTTCCGGATTGCCTTGCCATCCCTTGTCAAGCTTAGCCCCGCCCCTTTCCTCCAGAAGCCAAAGCATGCGTCACGTGACTGCTCTGCCCTGAGAGGAGACCACGTGGTTTCGCCTCGGGTGAGTCCGGAGTCTTTGGGCGCGCGGGAGGAGGAAGTGACCCAAAGGCAGGAAGAGCGGATTAGAGGAGGCAGAGGCTTCCCTCATTGGGAGTCAATGGGGAGAAGAATCGGATTGGAGATGGAAAGGAGGAAAGAGGGAATGTGCAGCGTCTAATGCTAAAGCTACCCTACACTTACACTGAAGATTTAGTGGAGTTTGACAGCACTTCCAGCTGCCCTGGCTCAATTCTGTGGAATCATGGGAAGTGTAGAGCTATGGCATCTTCAGCCTCCTCTGCCAAAGAGGGCTGGAGGTGCCTCAACAAACTACAGCTCGCATTATTCCATAACAAATCTGAGATTCTTTCCCCCCATTTCTGTTCTCATTAGACTCATGTAGAGGAAGAATCCTGTTGCATCCAGAATGGCTGAGAAGAAACCTTCAGGAGGGCAGCATCTCCTGCTGTTGCTGCTCATCGCTGTTGCCTTCACACACTTAGCTGTTTGTCCCTTTACGAAAGTAGAGGAGAGTTTTAACCTACAGGCCATCCATGACATCCTATATCACAAGCTGGACTTGGAGAAGGTGAATGGCTTTTCTTCTTTAGACATTTATTTCTTTTGTGTCGGATGAGGTTGCTGTCGAGTCAGTTTTGAATAGGCCAGGATCACATTGGTAACCAAAGAAATAATAGCATCTTCAAACCCCTCATTTTTTTAAAAAAGAAACAGCCCCACTCCAATAAACCTCCATATGACTACTATGAATGTGGAAGAATAAAAACAGCTCCAATTTACTTGGGTAAGCTATAATAATAATAATAACGTTATTCTTGTAGCCCACCACCATCTCCCCAAAGGGACTTGGAGCGGCTTACACATGGCACACGGTGCCTAAAAACAGAACATAAATGAACACAAATTTAAAATACAATTAAATTAAACATATAGGCATATAAAACAACAACTAACAATTAAAAACAGCGCTCATCAACCAATGGCAGGGGTTTTTTTTTGTGTGTCAGGAGCGACTTGAGGAACTGCAAGTGGCTTCTGGTGTAAGAGAATTGGTCGTCTGCAAGGACGTTGCCAGGGGACACCTGGATGTTTTTGATGTTTTACCATCCTTGTGGGAGGCTTCTCTCATGTCCACACATGGGGAGCTGGAACTGACAGAGGGAGCTCCTCTGCATTCTTCCTGGCTTCGAATCTGCAACCTATTTTCTCCAGTCCTGCCAGCACAGGGGTTTAACTCACTGCACCACTGGGGGCTCAACCAACTGCAGTAAGCTAATATAAACGTAAACAGGCAGTAAATCCGGCATCCTCAAACTGAGGCCCTCCAGCTATTTGGATCTCCAACTCCAGAAGCCCTAACGAGCTTGTTCAATTGTCAGGAATTCTGGGAGTTGAAGGCCCAAACAGCTGGAGGGCTGCAGTTTGAGGATACCTGCAGTAAATAATCAAACTAGAAATGGGATAAGTGCAAAGCTGTAGCCATGGAAAGAGGGCATGCAATGAAGTGCAAGGCTGGACACAACAATTGCATAGATAATTAGGGACTAGGTGTTCTCAAAATCTTGTTTAACAGCCAGGTCTTCAGTTCCCTAAGGAAGGATGAAAGTGTTGGGGAGGGTGTTTCAGAGCCGGGGGGCACCACCAAGAAGGCACTCTCCCTTGTTGCCACCAACCGTGCTTGTGACGATGGTGGGATTGCGAGGAGGGCCTCCCCGGCAGATCTTAGAACCCGTGCCGCTTAATAGGGGGGTGGGGTTATGAAGATTGGCAAGACCCAAACCGTTTAGGGTTTTATAGGTTGTAACCTGCCCTTTGAATTGGGACAGGAAACTTGTTTTAAGCCAGTGGAGTGGCTTTAAAAGGGATGTGGTGTACTCCCTAAAGCTCACCCCAGTTAGTTATCTGGTTGCCAACCTTTGCACTAACTGCAAATTCTGAGTTGTCTTCAAAGACAGCCCCACGTAGAGTGTATTACAGTAGCTCATTCTGGATGTAACTAAGGCGTGGACCACCATGGCCAAGTCAAGCTTTTCAAGATAGGGTTGCAGCTGGTGCACAATCTTTTAACTGTGCAAAGGTCCTCCTGACCACCACTGACACCTGAGCTTCAAGCATCAGTGATGAGTCCAGGAGGACCCCCAGACTGCGGGCCTGTGTCCTCATGGGAAGTGCAACCTCATCGAGCACAGGTTGCCACCCCATACCCCAATTGGCCTTACGACTGAGTAGGGCCACCTCTGTCTTGTTTTTGATTCAGCTGAAACTTGTTATCCCCCTTCCCGTTGATCATAGCTGCCAGGCACTGGTCCAGGGTTCAGGGGCTTCCTTGGATTTCGGTGGAAAAGGAGTAGTAGAGTTGTGTGCTATTTGCGTACAGGTGGCACAGAACTCCAAAACTCTGGATGACCTCACCAGCGATTTCATGTAGATATAAAAAAGTATAGGGAATAGAATGAAACCTTGTGGGACCCCTCAAGTCACCAGCCAGGGATTTGAGCAGGTGTCCCCTAGCTTTACCAACTGGTAGATCAGTTACAGCCTGTGAGCTGAAGGAATCAGCTGTAATTGTCTTTAATCTGGTCATATCTATATTTGCAATTAAAAGCACCCCTCCAAAACACATTTATAATCAGACTTTTAAACAAATTTATTACTAGTGCTGTAGCAAAAAGCCAGACTTAGGGAAAATGAATGATACTTCATCATTTGACAAGGCCTAATAATAGTTTGGATACTTGAAACCTCAGCCAGATGGTTCTTTTTTGGATGATCAGATCAATACATTGTTGTTATCTGACTGTTTTGAAAAAAAAAATGTTTGTGCCTTTTCCAGCAAAATCTTCAGCTCTGACTTACGAAGCCATTCCACTGGATTATAAAAAGGTTTCTAGGTCTCATCATCATAACGATACACACAGACTTCTCTCAATCTTCCTTAGAACCTCAGCCCTTTTCACTTTTTATTTCTCCTTCAAAAGGGCAAAAGGTAGTGACAAAATACCCCTTCTATACATTTTGAAGGATAAATTGAGGGGAAACGGGATTTTGACACACTGGGAGAATGGTCTGCAAGGAGTGTAGCCTGCACGAAGAACTGGCCACTGGCCTCATCAATTACTCATGCCTAGGATATGTTAACAACTATTGTTACATGTTGATGAAAGTTATCTGAGTGTATTAAGAAGAACTTGTGGTTGATCAAATACTTGTTTCTTATGTCTTGTCCATGTGTGCGTATAGAGGAACAAGGAAATTTCAGTTCCCTAGAAAAGAGGAAATGATTTTCTGATCACATCTTTGTTGATATGTTTACTATGGGAATGACTGTGAACAGCCCAGTGCAGTGAACTAAATTGAAACATTTGGATTGAAAGTAACAAGGGCCAGGTGCCTATATTTGAATGACCTCTGTCTAAACCAGCAATGGGGAGCCTTGGTCCCTCAGGGAGTTTTGACATCTTCTGCCAGAAGCTTTAATTAGCATAGCAATGTTTAAGGGATTATTGGAATTTTAGTCCAAATAATATGGAGGACCAGAGGTTCTGTTTCTCAGAAGTATTGTTGTGTAAGGTGATCACAATGAAAAGTTATTTAGGCCCCTTCTACACTGCCATATAAAATCTAGGTTATTTGCTTTGAACTTGATTATATGACAGTGTAGACTCATATAATTCAGTTCAAAGCAGATAATTTGGATGATCTGCTTTGATTTATCTAAATTATATGGCAATTTAGAAGGGACATTAGAAGAGTAGATCCCACTTTGCTTTCAATGATTGTGAATGCTCAAAAATGGGAGGAGGTATGTTACAGCAGTGGTTTTGTTCCTGTTTCTAGAGGCTGTTAAAAAGGATTTATATCTAGTGTGGATCTTGATCCTTGGGTTATGATTGCTGTAGTTACTTCTGTGGAGTTGAGCTTTGTTGATCTCAGTGAAACTTACTGAGGGCCCATCCACACAGCCCTATGTCCCAGAATATCAAGGCAGAAAATCCCATAATATCTGCTTTGAACTGGGTTGTCTGACTCCACACTCAGATAATGTGGGATTTTCTGCCCTGATATTCTGTAATGTAGGGATGTGTGGAAGGGTTCTGAGAAAGATGTCTTCATTTAAGTAAGAACTTTTTATCAATCTCAGTAGGGCAAAGATAGGACATAGGATGGGCTGCAACTGAGGCAGTGTGCATGCCAAAACAAAATTCCAGATTGTATATTTCTATATTTTATTTTTTATTTTTCCTCCTCTGTTTGCATGTGTGCATACTCTGTTTTTTCTTGTTTTACTTGTAAAGCAACATGTACATTTATAGTGCAATATAAATAAACAATAATAATTCAATTTCTGTCTTTTCCAAGTAGGCAAAGACGACTATTTGAAGCACTAGGTTGTCAGTCAGTGCATAAAACAAGTAGATAAAAACAAGAAACTTGTTGGGTAAACTCTTCTGCCATTGCTGGAAAAATCCTCCAAGTGCTGTCAAAATATCCCAGTTCTCCTACTGGGAAACATGATTTATAGAGAGAGTGCATCTTGTTTCTGATATTGTTTTCTCTACAGCTGTTAGTAGCTCACTTCTAGTGGAAAACAGGGTGCACACTCTACACATACCATGTTCCCTGTGATTTTGATGTTTGTGTTGGAATCTGCAGTGGCAGCAGAGATACATAGGAATACCTGGAGTATCCACCGTCAAGCTAGATTAATTAGCTTGCTGTGTAAAAGCAACTTCTTGTATTTTTCCTTATCTTAATTGGGTTGTTCATCGGACTGAATATGTGTCATGATACTTCTGTATAATTTTGTGTTATCCTTCTCTTTCTTTTTAACTACAGTATGACCATCATGAATTTCCTGGAGTTGTCCCAAGAACATTTCTTGGTCCGATTTTTGTTGCTGTGTTTTCCAGCCCAGCCATATACATGTTGTCCCTGCTGCAAATGTCTAAATTTTACTCCCAGCTGATAGGTACAAGATCTGTGGGTTAATTTTAGGAAGTACACGTTTAACATTTATACTCTGTGATTATAGTGTTGTGATTGTCTTTTAATTGCCATGATAAGGTCCTATGGAACTTTGGGCTTTGTAGCTTGGTGAGACCCCAGAACTCTCTGGCTGCAAATTACAAAGTATAAATCCTAACTTTCCGTAAGATGCTGCCATGGACTTGAACGTAAAATGACACTTAGTGTGATATTGTGATTGGGTCAAGCTCACCCACCCCCCAAAAAAGGAGTGAATAAAGATGATCTCTGGCCAAGAAATGAATCTGAAAGTGATTTTTAAATGACTATAATCAATTTGGAGACCTTGGTAGGTCAAGAGGGGATTAATAAATGACTGCAAAAAGTGATAAATAAATTGGAATGTTATGTGAGTGACACTGTACTGTGCTGCAGTGGGTGGGTTTTGGCCTTTGACCCTCCATGTAGTTGCTTATCCCTCTTGCGCTATAACATTCAGTGTTACTCTTTCTACTACAGATGTTAATGTGTTTATAGATTTCTTTTTGTTTTAACCTAAGTCCGAGGAAGCCTGGGCTTGAGCGTGATTTATGCCTTGTGGCGGTTGCACAAAGAAGTCAGAAAGCAGTTTGGCTCAACAGTGTCCTTGATCTTCTGTCTGATAACTGCTACTCAATTCCACCTGATGTTTTACTGCACTCGAACTCTCCCTAATGTGTTTGCACTTCCTATTGGTAAGTAATTACACTGAGCAATGCTTTTAAATTGAAACAATTTCTCCTTTTTATCAGTACTGAGTCATAAAGCATAGTGCAGATCTACTTCAATTAATGAAGGAGATGTGTTCTTGAGCGTTGGGGCTTTAACAGATTAGGTATCAAAGGAAGAAGAAAAAAACAAGAAAAAATAGAGATAGGGTTTTGTATTCCTGAAAATAAAAGCAACTCAAGATGTTTCAGAAAATGTTTTTGTTATGGAAAAACTACCCAAAATAATAAAGCAGAGCATCCAAAAACAAACAGAATACAGAAGTTGAGCATCAGCTCATTAGCGAGCAGAGCATGAAGTGCTGTGTGATATGGCTGTAAAGAATTCAGGGCTTAGGTAAGCAAAGATGCAGTGTCCAGTCTTAAAAATCACAAATGTTTATTTATAATAATAAGAAATAACTGCATTTCTTAATAATCAAGAACTGAGTCTGAGCTACTCTAACACCCATCTCTTCTAATGTTTCAAAGAGAGGGGAAGACACCCATCATTACATCTCTCTTACACAGAGAAAGATCGTTCAAAGCACAAAGGACATACACTAATGTAAGAAACAGAAGTCAGAATGAAAAAGGCTTGCGGTAGAAAAGTATCCATAGTAAACAACCAATCGGAATGAGAGCAGAAACAGAGAGGAGAGAAAAAATTAGATGCATTCCAACTGTCATACAGGAGACATGAGGGAAGAGAAACCTTTAGTGTATTCTAAGCCAGTGGTTCCCAACCTTTTTTTGACTAGGGACCACTCTCTATTAGTACCAAAAGGGTTACGAATAAATTTTTTGTCAACTTTAAATTTGGTTTTGGAGCCCCCGGTGGTGCAGGGTTTAAAGCGCTGAGCATGTTGACTGAAAGGCCGCAGATTTGAATCTGGGGAGTGGCTTGAGCTTCCGCTGTCAGCCCCAGCTTCTGCCAATGTAGCAGTTCGAAAACATGCAAATGTGAGGAGATCAATAGGTACCGCTCCGGTAAGAAGGTAACTGCGCTCCTAGTTTTTTAGTTGTCGTCTCATTCTGATCCCTGACCGCACAATGTAGTGTATTCAGTGTCTGATGTGTTTGTTTATTTACCAGTTCTACTGGCAATTACATCTTGGATACAGCAAAAGCACCACCTGTTCATCTGGTTCTCAGCTTTGGCAATTATTGTCTTCAGATCAGAACTTTGCATATTTCTGGGCTTTATGCTTCTTGTGACCCTCTTCAATAGAAGACTGTCCTTTGTGAAAATGCTCTCCTATGCTATTCCTGCAGGAACTTTTTGGTTAGGTAAGTTTCTTAAAGTGCTTTTGAACTCACCTGACTTACTTCTGAAGTGTCCCTTCTGAAAGTGTGTAGCTCAGTTTGAAATGAGTCAGTATCTTAAACGTGTGTGTGTTTTTAGAAGAGTTTCTTTCAGTTGCATATGTAAAACAGAAACCGTCATACATGGGAGCTATCTCTCTCTCTCTCAAACTCAAACACATATCTTCCAATCTACAAACCACATGAGATGAGTGGTTTAGACCAAGTTTCGGGGGACTATGGCCATTTTGTCACCTGTGCAACTCACCAGCAAACTAAAAAAGGGGATGATTGGGGAAGAGGACCAAAACTGGGAGACAGTAGAAGCTATATTTATTTTTTTGTAGTTTTACTTGAGGAGACTGTTTTACTTGAGGTTGGGGAAACTTGAGGTTGGGGAAACCTGCAATATTTTGGACTTGAATTCCCAAAAGTCTTGGCCCAGAAGTTAGTAAGAGATTGTTGGAGTCACAGTCCAAAACATCTGGAAGGACAAAGGGTCTCCAGAAACACCATGATATATGAACTGGGATTAGTGTAAGTCTTAGAACATGCTACCGTGTCTTGTCTGAACACAGGGATGCTATGGTGCACCTTTGTGCGGGTGGAAGTGAGATCTGATTATTGTAAACCTAAATATATAATAATATTGCACAGTGGTGTTTTTGTATGAACCGCACACACATTTATCTTCAGAAGGTATTTAGAGCTGTCTTAGTGATAGTGCCAGCATAAGCCAATGGTTTGCGTCCATACTGTGCTGTACCTAAACCTTTGGGCCTTCAGCTCCTAGATGACCCAGGGTGGAGGATGTTAAGGGTCTGGAGGAGATGTACATTAAAGACGTACATCTTTATTCCAGCAGTATTATATTTAAGTTGGTATGAAAATTCTCAAAAACAAATTTTGCTCTTACCAAGAAATTTTCCTTCACTTCTGAATATTGTAGCATTTTAATAACTTAAAATTTCAAGTGAGCATTTAGAAATACAGTTCAAAGATGGGGACAGGCAAAGTAGCCTTAATGACTTTCATTGACTCATTCTCTATAATTCTAGAAATCTAGAGATTAAAGGAAAACTTCATTGGGGATGCATTTTGACCTCCCTTGGAAGCTAGGTCCATGCTTGATTTAGCTTCATTCCATTTGATGTTTATTCATCTGATAGACATATTATAGGCGGTGTATCCCTTATCCAAACTACTTGGGACTAGAAGGGTTTTGGATTCCCCCCCCCCCCCCCCCCCGATTTTGTAATATTTGGATATATGTAATGGGATCTAACACAAAGTTTATTAAGTGTCAGCTACTCCTTCACACATAGACCAAAGTTAATTTTATGCACAATATTTTAAAGCATTCTGTGCTTGATTGGAATATCAGAAAACAAAGGTGTAACTATCTCAGCCACCTATATATATGGACAGGTTTGGAGTGCTTTGGATTTCAGAATTTCAGATAAGGGATATTCAACCTGTACTTAAATCAATAAATACGAAACATTTTCTGATTTTATTCTAGAATATTTTCTTCTTTTAGGACTTACCGTGGCCTTGGATTCTTTGTTTTGGAAGCAGCTTTTGTGGCCTGAGGGGAAAGTGCTTTGGTATAACACAGTTTTAAATAAAAGTTCCAATTGGGGAGTATCCTTTAAATTTTGCGCACAAAGATTCTCGCAATAGTTGAGTCTGGTGTTCTGATTAGTTATGATGTTTGAAATGATTGGTATAGAGAAGCCTTTCTTGAGCTTCTAAATAACAGCAGCTTATTATGATATTAAAGACTGTAATTTACCTAAGATCATTTTTTGATCCAGTTGTTAAAGGTCTTCATTCCTATGAAGCTAGATGGAGGGTCCACATATTAATGGGAGTTTGAAGCCAAGCATCAAAGACAGATGGCTTCTTACAATTGCTTATAATCCCTAACCCCAACACCTACTGTTTCTTAGATACAAATGGCAGGAAAGGAAAAGGAGAGTTGCAACATTACTTTAAAAGTAGTTACATTTCTATTGCCAAGGCTGCTTGAAGCAGTTGAATGCCATTATAAATATAGTATGACAACTGATGTATCGTATTTCTCTGAAGTTAATGAATCAGTTACATTCAAGTTTAGGTTTTTGTTGTTGTGTGCATTCAATTAATTTCTGGCAACGATTAACCTATCAAGAGGTTTACTATTTTTTAGCAAACCCTCACTACTAGAGGGAAAATGATGCCTCTTTCTGTCCCTATTGTTGCTTCAGCAACCCACAACAGAGCACAATGTAGTGTGAACCAATGCTTGAACTGCATGATGTTTCTTCTCCACCGTTAAATGAAGCTCCGCTCCTGTGAATTGTAAAGTTGACTCCAGAAAGCGATGCTCACATTGCTCATGGAGTCACAGGCTGTAATGTAATAGTAGCATACATTCCTGGCGTTATCCAGATGTCGTTGTGATTGCTGCCTGCCTACTTTCTCCCTTCTCCAGCTCTAAGGGGGCCTACCTCACAGGGTGTGCGTATGTGTGTGTGTGTTTATTGCTCTGTGATCAATTGGTAGTGGTGAATTGTGCCTGCTTGTGTGTTCTCGGAGCCCCCGGTGGCGCAGTGGGTTAAAGTGCTGAGCTGCTGAGCTTGTTGACCGAAAGGTCACAGGTTCGAATCCGGGGAGTGGCGTGAGCTTCCGTTGTCAGCCTCAGCTTCTGTCAACCTAACAGTTCGAAAACATGCCAATGTGAGTAGATCAATAGGTACCACTCCAGTGGGAAGGTAATGGTGCTCTATGCAGTCATGCCAGCCACATGACCTTGGAGGTGTCTACAGACAATGCTGGCTCTTCGGCTTAGAAATGGAGATGAGCACCACACCCCAGAGTCAGACACGACTGGACTTAATGTCATGGGAAAACCTTTACCTTTACTACTGTGTGTTCGAGGGGACAAGGCAATTAACTGGGGCTTCCAGACATTGCCCATCCCTGCCCTAGAGATTTGCTGCCATTCAGTGCAGATAAAACTAGACTAGACTAGAAGCTGGTAGACAAGAGTGGTATGATAGTATTTAAAATACATATACAGAATCCGTTTACTTCAACCCTGATATTTCTTTGCACAACCTGGACTGTGAATGCTTAAATGATTTAAGCACTTTGTTTCAAGAAGTGTCCTTTAAACCAGAGTTTTCCAAACAGTTCTCCTCCAGATGTTGCCGACTTCAGCTCCCACAATTCCTAACAGCTAGTAAGCTGGCTGGAATTTTTGGAATCTGAAGTCTAAAACACTTGGAAGAGCAGAGTTTGCTTCTTTCTTTTGGTGTGAGTGCCTGTTTTGCCAGAGCATCACACTCTCTCAATCTCACTAGAAGGCAAATACAAAACCTCTTTGTACAAATCTCTGAATAAAATTTGCCATGATAGGTTCGCCTTAGCATTGCCAGAAGTCAGACACTTGAATGCACACAACAGCATCACAACCAACAAAGTTTGCATTGTACATCTGCAGGCATTGGAATTCCTGCATGTTGTCAATACTCCCCCTTGTGGTTATTAATGTTTTGGATACATAAAGATCCACATTCTGAAACTGAGTTCAGTTAACCATTAGGAATTAAGTGAACTTTGTTATTTCAGAAATTGAGAAAATTAGGAATACATTCTTTGTGAGCGTATTTATGTTTCTCCTTTGGATGGCATTGATGCTAATGAAAATACTGTTTCTGTGTTCTACCAAATATTGCCCATTTCTGTCCTAGAGATTTGCTGCCATTCAGTGCAGTCAACATAAGAAGTTTTCACATATTATATAAGGAGAAACTTAGGTGCCTTGAAGAAGGGGAATGTGTAGCATTTTGATGGACTACAACTTCCATCACTCTTAGACATCACTCAATGGTGCATATCAGCCAAATATCCTCTATAAGGCAAATTCTCCTCACCCTTTGATTTGTGCTTCTCCAGAATGTGCCAGACAGATAGAAGTTAGAGAGAAAATGTTTAATCAAATCAATAATAATAATATCATCACCATCCTTAACTCTTTTTCTCTTTAAAGACGTCTCCTTTTCTGTGGTATTTTTATTCAGCCTTGCCTCGTGCTCTGGGATGCAGCATTATTTTTATACCATTAGGTGCAGGAGACAAAAGGACTCGAATATTACTTCTACCCACACTTGGTTTTGTTTTCCTGTATTCCTTTCTGCCCCACAAAGAACTACGGTTTATTATATACACTTTTCCTGTCTTCAATATAGTGGCTGCCAAAAGCTGCTCACGAATGTAAGTCTCTGTTTTTATAATACTTAAGTGTCTTGACCTTATTGATTTTTGTCATCCATCAAGAAAAACTGGCTTTTAATTTGTCTGATACTTAGAAAGCCTGTAAAGTTGGCCTTAAGGCCTCAGAGGAGAAGAAATGGCCAAACACTAAGATGTAAATTTATGCTGTCTCCTCATGATGACTCAGATTAGAAAGAGAATCAGAAGATCTAGAAATCTGCAATGCAAAATTGTAGTTTTTATTTGATCCTGACTTCAGCATTGGCCTTAGAAGAGAAGTTGTCAGAGAAGCTTTGAATCGAGACAGATTAAAATTAAAGTCTACAGGAGATACTGTTTCATTCAGTCTTTGTCTTCCCCTATATATATTGTTAGTACTTTGGCCACATCATGAGGAGACAGGAAAGCCTAGAGAAGACAATTATGCTGGGGAAAGTGGAAGGCAAAAGGAAGAGGGGCCGACCAAGAGCAAGATGGATGGATGGCGTCCTTGAAGTGACTGGACTGACCTTGAGGGAGCTGGGGGTGGTAGCGGCCGACAGGGAGCTCTGGCGTGGGCTGGTCCATGAGGTCACGAAGAGTCGGAGACGACTGAACGAATGAACAACAACATATATATTGTTGGACTAAAACTTCCATAATGCCTAGCTTTAATGAGTTGTTGCATTCCAATAGATTCTAAACATGAATGATATGTGATAGCATGTTATGGCTCAGTGGAAAGTGCCCTGAATCCCTGGGGGAGATAGAGTGGTATACAAATAAAGTTTTATTTATATATATTATTCTTTCCAGGTGCAGATAAAGCCATTTTAATTGCTTCTGATATTTGAGTTGAACATACAGATATTAGATGCTGTGATTTGGTATTTTGGAGTGGCTGTATAGTGTTTAATGCATTTAAATATTTTATGCCTAATGGTTTAATGACACAAAGGGTTGAATTGAGTTTTTTTTACACTCATATTGTAATACATTGGCCCCTTGGTGGTGCAGTGGGTTGAACTGCTGAGCTGCTGAACTTGCTGACCGAAAGGTTGGTGGTTTGAATCTGAATAGTGGGGTGAGCTCCTGCTGTTAGGCCCAGCTTCTGCCAACCTAACTATTCGAAAGCATGCAAATGTGAGTAGATCAATAGGTACCATTTCTGTGTGTCATACAGTCATGCTGGCTGCATGATCTAGGAGTTGTCCACCACAAAGAAATGGAGATGAGCACCATCCCCCAGAGTCAGACTTGACTAGACTTAAGGTCAAGGGAAACCTTTATATTTATTGTAATACATTTACATTATTTTAATATGTGTCCTATTTATAGTCAGCCGCCTTGAGTTCCTATATTGGCAGAAAGGCGGAATAGAAATACATTATTATTATTATTATTATTATTAATAATAATAATAATAATAATTTTAAGACTGTTCAGAAGCTTCAAATGGTCCAATGTTCGGCAGCCAGGATACTGACAGGAGCGGCGCTCAGGGAGCATACAACTCCTCTGTTGCCCCAGCTCCACTGGCTGCCAGTTTGCTACCGGGCACAATTCAAAGTGCTGGCATTAGCCTATAAAGCCCTAAACGGTTCTGGCCCAACTTACCTGTCCGAACACATCTCCTCCTATGAACCCGGTAGGATGTTAAGATCGTCTGGGAAGGCCCTGATCTCGGTCCCGCATGCATCACAAGTACGTCTGGCGGGGACGAGAGACAGGGCCTTCTCAGTGGTGGCTCCTCAGCTGTGGAACACCCTTCCTACAGAAATTAGATCGGCCCCCTCCCTGTTGGTATTTCACAGGAAAGTGAAGACCTGGTTGTTCGAGCAGGCATTTGAATAGGCAGTGTATTGAATATAGGAATATGGAACAACGGATTATGAGACTGGATCTTGATTCTACCTATGACACGCTAATGAGCTATTATAGTTATGTTTAATTGATTGTTTATTATATCATTGCTTTTAACTGTTGTTTAACTCTTTTTATGATGTTGAGCATTGAATTTTGCTATTGTTAACCGCTTTGAGTCGCCCAAGAGCTGAGAAAAGTGGTATATAAATGAAGTAAATAAATGAATAAGTAAATAAATGTCATAAAAACTAGATACATTCCAGATGAGACATTGAGTATCATACTATTCTTTCTTTTCTTCACAGTCTAAACAATTACAAGAAATCTTGGCTGTATAAATTAGGCTCTCTGTTTGTGATAGTTCACCTCATTGTTAACACTGCTTACTCAGGAGCTTCGCTCTATGTCTCACATTTCAATTACCCTGGAGGAGTTGCCATACAAAAACTACACCAGTTAGTACCTCCAACAGCAGGTGAGTCAAGCTGAGTCAGCATATAAAATATAAGTTTGGGGCACTGTGCCTCCGGCAATATGTTGGACAAAGTACACATTACATGCAGCTACACATTTTCAATAGAGATTTGAACCTGGTGTGGGAGGGCAAGTTTCTTTTGAGGAGGCAGTTTGGAGCGGAGAAATGACACTTCACTACTTCCTCACTCAAAATCCTCCTAACGCTGCTTCCTTTTGTTCTGGGGAGAGGAGGCATATGTAGTTTGGAATATACATTGCATAATTACCATCTTCAGCAGTAATTACAAAACTGGGAATGTGGATCACTATGTTTAAATGGACTCTCAGAATGAGTAGAAAAGTGTTAAGTTTTTTTCCCCTGGCCATTAAGAAGTGTTGCAGTTAACTGCTACCTTTTAGAGAAGATGACAAAGTGTGTAAGGTCAGTGGTGGAGAGGGCGTTTCTCTCAAGATCTTTTAGCAGGAAGATAGCAAACAGTAGTTTTAAGGAAGATCCTTGAAGATCTCTCAGGATGCAGCTACACTTGAAAATTAATACAGTTTGACATCACTTGCTGCCATGACTCAGTGCTATAGAATTGTGGGAGTTGTAGTTTGGTGAAGCACCAACACTCTTTGGTTGAGAAGGCTGAAAACATTGTAAAAATTTCAGTCTCATGGGTTGTAGTGAGTTTTCCAGGCTGTATGGCCATTTTCCAGAAGCATTCTCTCCTCACATTTCGCCCACATTTATGGCAGGCATCCTCAGAGATTGAGGAATCTGTTGGAAACTGAGCAAGTTAGGTTTATATATCTGTGGAAAACTCACAGCAACCCAATACCACTCATGGATCCCTAGTATTGTGTGATGACAAAATAGTGTCAGATTACATTATTTTAGCAGTGTTGATGCAGTCTCAGTGTGAATCTAGTAACAAAGATGAGACAAGTTCCTTAAGACATCAAGCCTGACCTCAGTGGTAAAAAGGTGTTCATTTAGTCCAGTGGTTCTCAACCTGTGGGTCTCCAGATGTTTTGGCCTTCAGCTCCCAGAAATCTTAACAGCTGGTAAACTGTCTGGGATTTCTAGGAGTTGTAGGCCAAAACACCTGGGAACGCACAGGTTGAGAACCACTGATTTAATCTAATGTCCAATAGCTTCCCACCTAATTATTATAGTTTTATTCTGCCTTGCTTAGAGAAGACAATGATGCTGGGGAAAATTGAAGGAAAAAGGAAAAGGGGCTGACCAAGGGCAAGATGGATGGATGGGATCCTTGAAGTGACTGGATTGACTTTGAATGAGCTGGGGGTGGTGATGGTCAACAGGGAGCTCTGGCGTGGGCTGGTCCATGAGATCACGAGGAGTTGGAAACAACTGAACGAATGAACAACAACATTCTGCCTTTCTTGCATTTAACACATGTGTTTCTTTCCCATTTTGTTTTACATGTAACACTGTATAAATAAATAAATACATGTAACACTGTATGCCTACAGGACAGGTTAGCCTTAGAGATGATTTACAGTTTTACAGTTTTAGACTGTGCTTATGCCCCATAGATATCAAATTCTTTCAGTCTAAGTGTAACCTCACTCTTAATTTCAGCCATTATTTTCATCTTGGTCCCAGTAGAAGTTACCACAAAATTATTTTAGTAAACAAAGTTGAGCCCATTAGTTTGTTCATGCCTATATAAAGTCCAAATCTTATCCTTTGCTTTTAGCTACCTTCAGCTGGAATGGCTGTTTATTTAACAGTCTTGTATATTCTCCTTTCAGATGTTTCCGTCCATATCGATGGGGCTGCAGCACAGACTGGAGTGTCTCGGTTTTTAGAAGTCAATTCGGATTGGAAGTAAAGAACCCCTTCCAAACTGTGTGGTTTTGGAACCATTGTTTTCTCATTTTAATGCATGAATCTTCGTGTCATTATAACAGTCACTTATACTGGGGTTTGTTGCAGTTTGATAGTCCAAGAATAATTTTCTACTCTTGCTGGGGCAGAATGCTACTAGTAAATCAGGGTACAGGAGGTAATGGGTATCCCAGGAAAGCCTTCTTTATTTTATTTTTCTAGCAGTCTGAAGTAGATAAGGTGAAACCTTTCTCCCAAAGCAGTGTTGTTGTTGTTGTTGTTGTGCGCCTTTGAGTCATTTCCAACCCCCCCCCCCCCCCCCCCCCCCCCCCCCCAGCCTCAAATGCCCAACCCTTCACCTCTTCTCCTAGTTTGGGCACTCCATCTTTAAAAGTTTCTCCATTACTTAGGTTCTCCCTAAGGTTTTCTTTCTTGGCAACAGAAGTTGCCTTTGCCTTCTGAGGCTGAGAGTGTATGACTTACCCAGGGTGATTGTATGGGTTTCCATGGCTGAGTGAAATCCTCTCTCCAGAGTCATAGTCTAATGCTCAAACAACATGGATGGTGTCAACAAAACCTTCCATGAAAGTTCAAAAACTTGGGAGCTGCCATCAAGAAGGCTATCGTCTCTGTCCTCACCAAATGTGGTAGTGAGACTGAGAGAAAGCTGTCCTCTGAAAATAATATAATTTGGGCAGACTCATGTTAAGAGATAGGGCTTTTCAAAGAGTCTGGACCCAAGCTGTATATAGGGCTTTAAAGGTCATGACCGGCAGTTTTATTTCTGCCCAGAAATGGACCCATAGTCAGAGGAGCCATTTGAAGAAAAAAAAAGAGTTATATGTTCTCCAAAACCAGCTCCAATCAGCATCGGTGCACATGATGTACTCAAGGCATGTGTCTGTTCAAGACAGCTCATGAAATGGTTGCCACTGATGCTGTGTAAATGAGTTTCTAGCCATCATTGGGACCTGGAGGTTCAAGCTTGATTCCTGGAGTACTCCAATGATCCTGCAGATTCAGAGAGAGTGTAACCCTGTCCGAAATGGGTTGAATCCCTATTTTCTTTATTTTGACTCATCAGGAGCACCTCTTATCTTATTTGAATCAAGTTTCAGTTTATTTGCCCTCATCCTCCCCATCACTGAGAACAGATACTGATTTTAGAATTAAGATAGCTTCCGTGGAAATAGATACAACTGCAAGATAGTGTTGGATGTCATCACTATACTGATGACATCCCAACCCCAAAACTCTGGATAAATTCTCTCATCAGTTTAATCTAAATGTTAAGTAGTGTGGAAGATAAAACAGATCCCCGGAGGACCCCACAGGCCAATGGCCATGAGATCAGATAGAGATCCTCCAGAAGTTGCAGAACATATAATGTGAAATGACACCCCAGTATACACCACTTTTGGCATAATATATGTCATTTCCCAGGAACTTGGGCCATTACAAAGGAGGTGAAAGGATTAGATCTTGTTATGGGTGTATAGCCCAGGAGACTCTAAGACAGTGGTTCTCAACATGTGGGTCCCCAGGTGTTTTGGCCTACAACTCCCAGAAATTCCAGCCAGTTTACCAGCTGTTAAGATTCCTGGGAGTTAAAAGTCAAAACATTTGGGGACCCACACGTTGAGAACTACTGCTCTAAGGTATCCTTAAATACCGTGTGTAGATGAGTGCTGGAAGGTCCTACCAAGTGTTACACATGTTGTGGGCCACATGTTGCCTCCCTCTGCTAGATGGTAAGATAGAGAATCATTTTGTTGCAAATTCTTATTCTTCCTTCATGACCCTGCCATGAATAGTAAATAAACGGTGAGACAACTAGGATGCCCTCTAGCCTCCTCCAAAACTTCACAGCTTTATCTACGTTAATCCAGTTAAATTAACAATATGCCTGGCATAATCTTCACAATTAATAGAATATGTTTAGCCAAAGTAAATACTTAATGCTTTTATATGGAGTGTGGAAAATGTGGACTGTGAATTGCATGCAGCCTAGAATTCCATTTTTATAGTTTTAACATCTACAATAACCTTCAAATCACCTGCAATTAGCAAAACTTGCAACCTCTCCCCCTCAAAAAAATCCCAGAAGGTGAAAAATTAGCTTGTTTTTCACCTGATTCAATCACATGGGGAAAAATGTGCGAAAACCAGCTAATTTTCAGCCTGTGGTCGGCGGTTACACCACATGCCTGAATATATGGAGGGAGATGAGTGTTAAATGACTTCTATCCCAGTTTCGGGCCTCTTCCACACAGCTGAATAAAATCCCACATTTTCTACTGGAACATATGGCAGTGGGGACTCAGCTAACCCAGTTCAAAGCAGGATTTGTAGGATTTTCTGCCTTAATCTGGGTTATATAGCTGCGTGGAAGGGCCCTTTGTTGCCCATTCCTTGTGTAATAAGTATTCCTAGATTCTAACTATCTCCTAAGAAGCTAAATATTAAAATTCAACATTTATAGTTTCTTTGCACAAATGATATGATAAGGCAATATCGAGGAAAGAACTCGTGATATTTGGGTAAACATTCAAAGTTGTTTTGGACAAATAAACAAATATTCAACTTTATTAAATATGGATATGGGATATTTCTATTTTGTTAAGTATAGAAACTGGGAAAATAAATCCAACCTGACGAAATAGTTTTCTCATGTTTTGTTCTGGGATCAAATTGAATATGAATGCCCCAAAGGCATAACTTTAGAGAAGTTGGAAATACTTAATCACAAACCGGAGGAGGGAAATATAGCTGCATACATTTTGATCAGAGTTTTCATAGGATGTTCTTAACTTCCATTAATGGGAATCTATATGCATATTTTGAACTTTCCTAAAACTTCCAAGTAGCCCTGTCACTAAAATTGAGTATATGCTAACAAGGTTAATATATATGAGGGAAGCATGCATTAGTGGTAGCCTGCATTTAAGATTGACTCCTAAATAAACTAAATGACTCACATGCGCCCTCAAACCTGACTTCGCTTTCTTTGCCATGACTCAGAATGCCTTAGGGAAAAGCCAGACATTTCATTATCTTCCTTGCAAGACTGGTGGCTATAAGCTTGTCATAAATACGAATGTAGGCAAACTCTATAAACTTGGCACTGCCATTAATGAATTAGGATGAAAAGAGTTTTACTTGCAGGGGATTTTAGAATAATGATATTCAGGGGAAAGTTGCATCCTAATAATAGGCTATTCAATAGCCAATGGTGTATTTCTGGAAGGGTTCTCCAAGTGTTTAGTTTTATCCTGCAGATATGCTAGATTTTCTATTTTAATTTTTAAAATTAAAATAATAGGTCAGCTGGTAAAGAGGAGAGCATGGCTAGGTTGCTTTGGTGGGGTGGTAGTGGTGGGACTGGTTCCCAGAATCTCCCAGGAAATGTAAACAATGGTCATCACTTTATAGTTTCGGAAGAGGACAGGAAAAGAGGCTAGTGAGAGGGAGCCCATTCTTGAACAAAAGCCTTTGCAGGTGTGCTCTGTGTTATATTGATGACCCTGACTTTTTGGACAGTTTAGGAACCAGAGTACTCCGCAAAACCAGAAATTGTCAAAATGTGGATCCTTCTATCATTTTTCCCTTTTAATTCAATCTTATTTTAATTCATTTTTTTAAAAAAATGGTTGTACCATATACTTGTGTACACATTGAAGTTCTCCCAGGATGGACTAAACTTTCATCTTTTGTTACTTTAGACAGAGAAGGAGATGGTCTCTTTTTAAATAGGAGTTAAGGTACAGTTCTTATATTTACCTGTAGATAAGTTGACCCTAGGGTTTTTGGCCTGATTTTTTGGCTAAAATTTCTAGACTTGTACATGAGAATGTAAAGTAAACGTAAAGGTTTCCCTGACATTAAGTCTAGTTGTGTCTGACTCTGGGGGGTGGTGCTCATCTCCATTTCGAAGAGCCAGCTCTGTCCATAAACACCCCCAAGGTCATATGGCCAGCATGACTGCATGATGTGCTGTTACTTTCCCGCAGAAGCAGTACCTATTGATCTATTCACATTTGCATGTTTTTGAACTGCTAGCTTGGCAGAAGCTGGGGCTCCCCAAATTTGACCTGCTGCGCCACGAGGGGGCCCTTATATGAGTATGTACAGTACTTTAAATCGGTTGGTGTTTAATTTGATTTTTATTGTAGATTGGTCTAAATTTAATTCAGCTTTATTTTAACAAATGACAAAAGAGGAGATTGAATTTTGAATATGTGGGTTCTAGTCATAATTAAAAATGGTCAAGAAACTTTGAAAAGCAGATTGTCAAAAAGCAGAGAATGCTTGCATTGGAGAACAAAGGCGGGTGGTACATTGCTGCCTTTCTACAAATATGAAGGGAATATTTGGCCATCCAGGTGTTGCTGGACTTCCATAAGACTACTCAGCATAGCTAAAGATGAACAATGAGAGCTGCTGAACAACATCTGGAAGGCCACGTGTTTCCCATCCCTGCTTTGCTAAATTTTGGTTTGTCATCTCTTGGAGAGGCAAGGTAGTTGTAGGAATCTGGCACAAATGTATCTGCATCTCTCTTAGAGCTTCTGATGATTTGGTGGTTTTCAGACTCTTACATATTAAACAGTAAAAAAATAAATAGGGATGGCTACAGGACAGTTAATTGTGCCACATATAGGTTGTACTGGAGGCATTAATTCATGTGATTAAATGGAGCCAGCCAGCCAGACTCTTGCTAGCTGCCCTCGAGCATGGCCTTTGCAGTCCCCTCCACCTATTTCTGCTGCTGCCAAATATCAAGCATGCCATACAAGCATGCTGGAAGATCAAATAGAATAACTTACGCCCCATTGGAATAATCTGGGTTTAGATTGGGAGGCAATGTGAGGACCAACTTTGGTCACCCTTTGTTAGGGGAAAAATGCACAATCTTTTTAACAGGTTTTGTCAACAATTATAATATTTTAGTCTCAAGTGAGAAGGAAGTCACAGAGATAGAGTGGGGTCCACTCATCCCTGCAAGCTCAGTTTCAGAATGTAGCACTTTCTGAAATGGAAGAGTTTTTGTTAGGTTCTGTTGCATTTGGGCTACATGCTCTTTAACATGTACATCCGTGTGAAGCTGCTGGTTGAGCTGACCAGGCATTTGGAGTGAGATGATTTATAGACTGATGATATCAAACTCTGTTTCTTGGTCCATATTATGTGAACCAGATGAGGCTATGGAGCTGCTAAAACATTGTATCATTAGGAACTGAATGAATTAGGGTCAATAAATGGAAGCAAGAGTCTGGGGGTTGAGAAGGGCGGGGTAAAAATGCTGTAAATAAAATAAATAGGTATACATGGGGTACTGTGGGCCCATGGTTCCTGATGGGATGTCCAATATGCATTTCCACTGCATTTTGGGATACTCTTGGGTGCAACATTGTCTTCTGTGGCCCAGTTTATCATCCATCAATGAGTGTGAAGCCACAAAACAACACAAAGGTTTAAACCTAGGGTGGATAACAGTACAGAGCATGGGAGCAGTGACATTTTTTCTCCCTCTTTCCCCCATGTCTGACCACATAGGGACATCTCAAGCTACCTGAAATAAACTTTAAATGGCCACTTTTTCTACTCTGTGTTGTCAAAGGCCTTCATGGCTGAAATCACTGGGTTGTTGTAAGTTTTTCGGGCTGTATGGCCATGTTCTAGAAGTATTCTCTCCTGATGTTTCACCTACATCTATGGCAGGCATCCTCAGAGGTTGTAAGGTCTGTTGTAAACTAGGCAAGTGGGGTTTATATATCTGTGGAATGTCCAGGGTGGGAGAAAGAACTCTTGTCTGTTGGAGGCAAGTGTGAATGTTGCAGTTGGCCACCTTGATTAACATTGAATAGCCTTGCAGCTTCAAAGCCTGCATCTATGGCAGGCATCCTCGGACCTCACTACTTCTGAGGATGCCTGCCATAGATGCAGGTGAAACATCAGGAGAGAATACTTCTAGAACATGGCCATACAGCCCGAAAAACCTACAACAACCCAGTTTTTCTACTCCTTTTGGATATGGCAATTTGGATATTCATGGTGGTAGTGGCGGTAGGGGACACCACCTATATTTGATGTATGATTTTTGACCTGAACCTTTTTGAAAATAGGAGCATCTGAGTTCCTTAGAGGTGTCCTGAATTTCATAGAAACAGGGTTAAGGCTGTGCTTAGCCTGTGAAGCACACATTATGCATCTTAGCCTGAACAAGAATTGAATATTGAGGTTAAGTTAATGATGGAGAGGCTACCGTGAGCAAAAGACACATTATCACACTGTTGCTATGCCTTGTGCACAGAGAACTCAATCGAGACAACTGGTTGTGTATGTGCATGTGTGTATATGCATCCATCTTTACTACAGTTTTCAATTATTTGTCCTCTTACAGGTATGACAAAAGGGAAGACCTCAAACCAGGTGACTCCGACATGTTCTCGTATACACATTTACTAATGGAAATGGACCCGGTTCAAATATCGCATTATAGGATGACCCACAGAGTCCTAGCACACATCCCTGGCACCAGTGGAATTGGACTGAATTTTACTGCACTACCTCCTATTACTTTGAACTTGAAATCCAAACTAGTACTACTGGAAAAGCTTCCTACTTCTTCTGGAACATAAACATTAGGAGACTTCACCTTTATTTTCTTCTGAAACTTAATTGTATTTGATATAAAACCATAACTCAATGACTTTGAACATTATGTAGTTTCATTCATTTTTTATGGTCTGTGTATGCACAGCTGGTACTATGTATTGTGTCAGATATGCACGCGTGTGCGTGCACACATACAGAGGTATATATTTTTCAATGAAATGGAACTTTGATTTAAAAAGTGCTCTGCGCTTTTCTTACTGGCTGTACTTTGAGACTGCGATTACAATTACCTGCCAAGATTTGGAGACACAGAAACAGGCGTCACACCTAAATAGCACTTGCATGTGACATGCCCAGCACACATCAGCCAAACATTTAGTGGGTCCTTGTTATCTGCTGGGGTTTGGCTTCAGGACTCCCCTTTGATACCAAAATCTATAGATACTCAAGTCCCATTATGCAATACAATGTTGTAATAAAATGACATCTTTTATATAAAATTGCAAACAACTCCTGCTTTTTCGTATTAAAAAAATCAAGCAGTAACTGATTGAATTTATATATGCAGACTCATGGATATGAAGGACTGACTGTAGTATAATTTTGACAATATAATACCGTCTATATTACTGACCAACACATATTTTGGTACCTCAAACATTAGACCAGTTTCTGAGTATGTTTGGCCGATCCAAAAATGGCACCAGCTTTCCCCCATCAGCTCCAATTTTTAAGATACAGAACCTATGCCATCTACCAGTCACTACCTGCTTGCCCATAGAAAATCATGACAACCATATCTAAGAAAGTAGAGCTGGTGAAGTCTATTGAATGAATCAGTGCCTAAAATAATCCCAGGAACAGGCCTCAAAATTGTCAGGCTGTGTAATAATTAATGTTTCACACAAAATCTGGGGATGGGTTGTTTTGCATGCCTATTCAGCTTGTTTAGCAGTGGTTCACAACCTCTGGGTCCCCAGGTGTTTTGGCCTACAACTCCCAGAAATGCCAGCCAATTTACCAGCTGTTAGGATTTCCGGGAGTTGAAGGCCAAAACATCTGGGGATCCACAGGTTGAGAACCATGAATGGATATAGCCTTCCATCCTGGTAAGATGTCTGAACAAGGTCTCACTATGACTTCATAGAATGACTGTTCTGCAGTGATAAAAGTCATCCTGCTAGGCTCTTTTAAGTTCAAAAGGTTAGAGAGGAAGGGAGAAAAAAGTGACAGTACCTTTAAGACTAACTGGTTTTTGTTTTTTGCTAAAATAAAATTCAGTGGATTTAATAGAGTTGCCACATTTCTTTTTTCCTGATCTTCCTTTTTATAATACAAATCAAGTTGTCGCCAAAGGTGTCCAAAATACAGCCCAAAGTTTTTAAAAACCCAAAACAAAGCTGTGTAGCCTATTGTTGACAACAATATGTCTTTGCGTGACAGTGTTTTAATCATTGTAAGCCATTTTCGGAATGCCACATTAAGAATGTGAAAAGTTTAATCATTCAAAGAACTAATATTTAACCCAAAACTGTATTCTATAAATAGCTATTTAATTGTTTTGATTAAACGTTTCAGTGTTTTTTAAGTGATGACGAACTTCCAGAACAGCCATATGATCTGACCTTTTTAATGTGACCACTTGGGTGATTATATCTTGTTTTCTCAGGGCCACTGTATAGTACCCTGCATATAAAACCTTATAGGATTCATAAGAAGAGAGGCGACAGTTTCTGACTGATAATGGAAAGTATTCGTGTTGCACCTCTCACCACCAAAAGGAAGTACTTGCTACAAATGTATTTCCATCATTTATTCCTTGCATTAATATATTGCACATGGGGGAAAGCATTGCTGTTCATAATGTTGGGTGTAGTCTGGCACAGAATGAATACGCTGCAGATTTACCTGGTGCAGTAAATAGCAGCTTGTAAAACCAGTTCATCCACACTGCCAGGCAGTTCTTCTGCTTATTATGCCACGTTTGATCAATTTTATTGTTCACCATAATATGTCTTCCTTGATGTAAAGCGTATTTATTCAAGTATTCATCAGGGGCTGGTGCCATTCAGGGCAAGCAATTACAGCAGTCCCCATTCATGACTTTGGTGTTAGCATATCGCCCTGAATGTATCCAAGTTTAGAACCCAAGCAGGGTCAGGCTCGGTTGAACCTTGACCCTACAGATAGTTTGGAAAAGCACTGAAGTAAGTTCACTTCCAGGCAGAACACAGTGTCATATACAGTAGAGTCTCGCTTACCAAACTTTGCTCATCCTACATTCTGTATTATCCAATGCAGTCTGCCTCCTGCCTGGATCTACAGTTGTTTCAATGCATTACAATGTTTTGGTGCTAAATTCGTAAATACAGTAATTACTACATAACGTTACTGTGTTCAGAACTGTAAACCATGACGTTTTGGTGCTTAATTTGTAAAATCATAACATAATTTGATGTTTAATAAGCGTTTCGTTAATCCCTCATTATCCAACATTTTTGCTTATCCAATGTTCTGCTGGCTCGTTTATGTAGGATAAGCAAGACTCTACTGTATTTGTTTTAGAATCATGTAACACAGAGTCCAATTTTTAAAAATCATAGTGCCTTGGTTTTTAGGCCTGTTCATATAGTTATCTAGGGCATTTTTTTTGGTCTGTTCATGTGGTTATCTGTAGTCAATCCAATTGCCTTGGATTGACATTAGTTCTAGTTTCTTAGATATGGTTATGATTTTCTGTGGACAAGCAGATAAAGACTAGTAGATGGCATATATTCTGCATCTCAAAATGAAAGCTAATAGTAGAAAACTGATGCCATTTTTGGAATTGGCAGGTCAAATGTACCAGAAACAGGACTAACATTTGAAGCACCAAAATGCGTGTTAGCCAGTGTATCCTTTGAACCTTAAAATAGGTCAGTGCCGGTGTTTTGTTTTAAAAAAACCTTCCTACATCTTCCAATATTGCCATTTGCAGTCGCCTCATTTAAGGCAGGGAATATCTGGTGATCCAGATACATAAAACCATTAGCAATCCTTTCATTACAATTGAGGGATTATTAATTCTACTGGTCTCTTTGACCCATATCCAGTATAATGCTGTTTTGCAGGATACAACTAACTGACAGTGTCTTGCCAAAATATTCATCTCCATTCAATTTTCCACATTTGGTCATTAGAACTGAAATTGATTTAATTGGCATGGTTACCCCATGATTTAACAAAATACTCAACATTGAAGGTGGTAATTATTTTATTTTTAAATTGTGGCTCGGAAGTGGAATAAGAACAAACCAGTACTTATTGGCTGCATGAATTAACCTCTCTAAATCAATAATTGGTAGAAGCACTTTTGGTAGGAAGCAGAGGTGTGAGTCTCCTTGGGTAAACTGTGTATCTGGAGTAATTATTGTCATTTCTTGGCAAAATTGCTCTGATCTCTGGATGGGAGAATAACTGTCTGTTAGAGTACAACTTTTCAAGTCTTGTCACAGATTCTCAGGTGGATTAAAGCCTGATGAGTGGCCCGTGCTAAGACATTCAAGTTCTTGATTTTTAAAACCAGAGCTATATTACTGTATATACTTGAGTATAAACCTAGTTTTTCAGCCCTTTTTTAAGGCTGAAAAAGTTCCCCTCAGCTTATACTCGAGTCAAGGTTATTATTTTACTCTGTTGTTGTTATTATTACATTTATTAATTTATTTTATTGTTATTATTACATTTTTACTCTATTACTGTTATTATTACATTACTCTATTATAATAGAGTATAATACATATACTCTTATTATCGGAAGAAGACATATGCACATTTACATTGAAGGTTAGAATAACGGTTTAATCTGAGTTGGTCAATCTTATCTTAAATTAGTTTTATGTAAATATTCAAAAACATTTAACCTACTGGTGTCTCAATGTAATTGTATTGGTATCTATTTTTATTTTTAAATTTACTACTACTGCTTTCCCACCCTCAGCTTATACTCTGTTTGTTTGTGGTAAAATTAAGTGTCTCGGTTTATATTCAAGTTTGCTTATACTCTAGTATATACAGTAGTTGTGTGTTTAGGGTCATTGTTCTGCTCAAACCTCTTCCTTGGTCTCAGGTCCCTTGAAGACAAGAAGTTTTTTCCTCCCTGGAATTGACCTAGATTTGACTCCATCTACCTTGTCTCTATCCTGACGAATTTTCCAACCCATGCTAAGCAAAAGTAGCCTCATTACACTGCACTGCCACCAGGATGCTGAATGGTTAGCTTAGCACTTTGTATAGCATTTTGTGATTGTGTTAGTTTTATCAGAGAGCCTTTTCTTACAGGCTTACTGTGCATCTTACATGCCATTTGCAAGGTCTGGAGACTCTTGATGTGGATTTGTTTCCGTAATTACTTTTTTTCTCGTCATTTTTCTTAGTCCAGCTTTGTGAAGTATGCCAGGTAGTTATCCCATGTAATTTCCCCCTTGTCAACTGCAGTTGTCCCAAGCTCCTTCAGAGTCAAAACTGGCTTTTCCTTTGGTTCTCTGACCACGCCATCCATACCCACTCACTGAGTTTTGGTGAAGTTTTCTCTAGGGCAGACTTGTAGTTGGGCCACATACTTCCCATATTGCAATAATGCATTTAATGGTGCTCTCAAAGATGTCCATAATTTGGGATATTTTAAAATAACTCATCCTTAATTGATGCTTCTCGAAATTAGCCCAGACTTGTTTTGGTAGCTCCTCAGTCCTTATAAAGTGGTTTGTTCAGATACACTCTCCAACAAAGTCTGGGATTTAATTTGCAATCATGTGGAACAGAAACTGCACACGTGTGGACTCCATTCAATTACTTATGCGATTTTCGGAGGCAGTGGATTGCACCACAGCTAACTTAGACAAGTCACAGCAAAGGGGGTGGGGGAGTGGGGAGTCTATGCAAACATGTCACTTTGAACAAATTTAGCTAATTCAATGTTGTGTATCTTACACACATCAAGAGTTGCAATTATGCCAGTTAATTTCCAGTCCAAGCTGTAACAAAATGTGGAAATGTATGTGCTATGTGTGTTGATATACTTTAAAGACAATGTGTATGAGGATGAACTTCTATTTTGAAACAAATGCACACAAACTGATTTTATCTATTTCAAAATAAGTAATGCACTTTTAGGTTTCTGCCTAAATAGAAAACACATAAATTTATACATACAGCCTTGTGTTGATTTTGAGGTTACATCTGTTCCTGTCTATCTTTCTCCACTTCTTTTAGCCCAATAGAGATTGTTAGTGATTCATGCCATATAATGGGATGGAGGGAGGACTGAGGTGGCTTTGGTTCAATTTTTCCACCTTCAGATATGCAGACTAGGGAGAACAAACAGCTGGCTTTTGAAAATGGGCAATATCTTAGAATCCTGTACAGCAGAGGAGGGGCGCTGCAACCTATTTTAAGGGTGAATTGCCCTCCTGGTGACTTCCAGAAAGGGCAATACACTTGCGGGAGGGCAGTCTCAGTTCTCAAAGAGGTCATAATGATTGCAAAAACAGCATTGAGATTTGGCTACACTAAGCTTTGTTCACATAATAGCTAGCTATTATGAGGTGGCCTTCATATCTCAAGTTTGAAGAAGAGCCAGGTAACCATTTTCCAAGGACAAGCATGTGTTACACTGAATGGGTTCTGGCCTGCTAATTGATTACGATAGCTGTGGTAGATAGTGAGGCATACCTATCTTCATCACAAGACCCTTTAATTTTTTCAGCTTCTACATATTCATGGCTGCTGCTAAAAACCATAGTACTCCATGGCAGCGATTCCCTGTTTTGGTAAGGAAGCCCTTCAGAAGACTCCCCCCCCCCCCCCCCCCCCCCCCAAACACACAAATAACCCTAACTCTGTCCCAGATTTTCCTGCAGAACCCTCTGTCCATAAGCATTGTGAACCCATGAAGTCCTTCTTTCTTCATCTACTATTGTCTAAGTGTTTTGTATAACATAGGTTTGGAAATAAAGACATTCAGATTTCATTTTTAAAGTGGAAGTACATTGAATTTCAGTAAGATCTTCATACTCTGGCATGGAAACTGTAAAGATTTTAAAAGATTTTTTTTCAAAGAATCCCTATGATGCTTTCGTGAAACCCTATCTTGGACCATAGAAACATGTTACTGATGTGAAATTGGATGTACAGATTCCAATCTTTTGAAATTACCGAGGGTGGGGCAATGTTAATAATTCAATATGTATTTTTAATTCCAAAATACAAGCCAATTTACATAGTGTACATTAGGAGGTCAAATCAGTTGCCTCATCTGGAACAGCTACACCTGCAGTCCTCCAACTAAAATTTCAAATATACTTTGCAAATACCTCTACTAAACCTCTAAGGCACTGGGGATCAACTAAGTGTACTTTTTCTCTTCACCCCATATTTGTATTTATTTCTGGACAATATTAATGGAGTCATTCCTATATCAAACGACAGTGGTTCTATCATGTTAACCCATAGTTAAATGAAACATGTCAGTGACTGAACCAAGAGCCCTCATAAAGACAGAGTCTATTATACCAATGCACCATGGCATATCAATTTAAACAGAGATGATTGAAATGACACTCCAAATGCTGGACTGAAACTTCCATCAGCCCTAGCCACACAGGGAAGGAGCGTCCAAAAATATCAAGGCCACAAGTTGCTAAGATATATCACTGTTTAGCGTTTGTGGATTTGGAGTAAAAACCCATCTTGCTGTATCTCCTGAGGTCTAGGACCAGGATTCCCTTTGGATAACAAAATCCATGGACACTCAACTCCCATTATATACAATGATGTAGTAAAATGCTGTCACTTACATAAAATGGAAAAAATAAAATTGGCTTTTTGGCTTTAAAAAATATTTTCAAGCCACAGATGGTTCAACTTGTGAATCTGCAGCACTGACCGTATATGAAATAAAAATATCTTAATACAAAAAGGGTTATTCCTCACTCAGCTGAAGTTACGATAAACAGAATCATTTGATAATTTTCCTTTTCTCAGATACAGGAAAGATTTGTGGTATGTTCATAGGTCAAGCCCCAATATTATCAATCAGAAGTCATATAGACCAACATCAAAATATTAAGTAATACATTCTTAGCATATTCCTTTTCAGAGTTAGCAATACCCACTGCCCCCTGAGGAGAAAATAGGAGATTCAACTCTAAAAATTGCAAATAAGATGTTTAATTTCAGAAAACTTGAGTTCACCATTTATAAATACACTAAAACATAGTAAATGCAAAAATTAGCAGAGGTACAATATTTTAACAAAACTACATCTTCCCTAAAAGTCACAGTCAGTTCATTTCCCCGAAGAATCTCAACAATGCACAAAACTGGGGAAATGAATCTAAAGATTTTTTTAAATGTGGAGATCACACTGTCTATAATTAAAATGCTGGCTATTCTTACCTCAGTTTGAGGTTTAGAAGGGTTCTATAATTTATTGACCTGATGAACACTGTCAATTATATCAAGCCTACTGTATCATTCTAGTAGGGCACCAATCTAAAAAGGTTAAAAACTGAGAAGCAGCTTCTTATAAAAGGAATGAAAGATGATGCCATACACAATTTTCAATTAGATAGGAAACCAGGAATTAATTTTTACATCAAAGAATATTGGATGTTTTTATCCACTCAATTTTAAAAGGCTTTAGCCCAATGCTTACAGTTTATCTTTCAATACAATGCATTAAATAACAAATATTACTTGGAAAAGTTTTGAAAATAAACATCCCAAAGAACCTTATAAATACTCAAGCTCTAATTCAATTACAGTGTAAAAAACCTGAATAGGAACCACTGAATGGCAAGATTATAGGTTATTGTATAACTCATATTCCATAATACCACTAAGTTTAGTTCAGTCAATACTAATTCAATACCCACCCACAGTACATAAGTTATATTTGAATATTACATTACCCTTTAAGTAAGTTGAGTCTGCAGTTAAAACCTGCTAAGTAGAAAGATGGCTTCAATTCCACCTTTATATACAGCTTTCTTCTGACAGCTACAAAATGGTTCTTGCAATTAAAGCAATGATCAACTAATATACAGTACCTGCTTTATGATTTTTACATAATTCAATAAAAAACTACATAATAGAATTGTTTACATCTCTTTGCCATTCTATTCAAATTGTCTGAAAACTTCATTTACACTTCTCAAGGAAAAGCTACATTTTTTAATAATCCAAACAAACACAAATCTAATGCTAACAATCACTTTAAAAAACAGATATATACATTATCTGGCCTGGAGGACTATTAATAAGGCACATGTAGACACATAGAAAGCTGAAAAATAAATTTTGAACTACAGTCACTTATTAGATGTCATACATGGCCCCTACTGGAGCAATTTAACAATAGAAAGTTGTAAATACAACTACCCTATATACTCATGTATAAGTCTAGAAATTTTAGTAAATCAAATCCAACTCTTGTTTAAAGAAAAAGGAACTACTCCTCTGAATAGAGTGGCAAAGGCAAGAACTTAGTCTTTTCCAAGAGAACCTAAAAGAACAATTGACTCCCTCGACTCTTCGACCCTTCAGGCCTTTTTGAATGACTGCTAGGGATAATTTGCACCCTGAGGCAGCACTTGTGTTTTTCCTTCTCTGTGAAATACCCTCAACTTATCCACAGGTCATATTAAAATCTATAATTTAGGCCCCCAAACCTGCCTTGACTTATACATGACATCCACTTACACATGAGTATATACAGTAGGTATCCAGTGAACAAAAACAATTTTAAACTGGCAGCTTGTTCATTAGTTTCAATACTGGAAGTATATCAACGGAAGATTTACTTTCAAAAATATAAGTTTTTCAAAGTGTTCCATTGCTAGTCTTGACTGACCCAAGCCGATGTTCTCATTAGAGGTACTGAACAATCTATCTAATGGAACAATACTAGGTGGACAACCCAGAAATCGAACTGCCAACCTTGACAGTACTGGCCAAGATGATTTTTTAAAGTTCCAGTAAGTTAGGGGATCACAGTTATGCTCAAGCACTTCTTCTTCCAAGTATGTAAGCACCATTTCTTCTGGCAACTTGGCCTTTTCTTTTGGAAGTTTTGCTTTTTTCATATCTTCCATAAGTGACCAAAGATTACTGTCCCCATAAGAGTTTTTAGATGGTGAACCTATACCACAGCCATTGGAAACAGGTTTATCATCATCTGAGGTAGCATTTAATATTTCTAGCTCCCTGATTAAGTCCTGTTTATATTGTTCTGCCTCCTCTTCAGTGAATAAGGAGGCCTTATAGCGAGGATCCAAGAGTGTAGCAAAAACATACCTTGGATCGTGAAGAGTGGATGACAGCCTACTCACCATTGCTTCCTTTAAGGACTTCAGCATAGTATCTATGCCCATTGTTTCTTCAAACAGTAGTTCAATTTTCCGGTTGAGGATGTGAATCATTGGAATTACTTGGCTTAAAGTAGACATGTGTGTACTCATCTCCCTGCTTGCAACTTCAAATGGCTTGAGCGCATGACAAACAGACTGCATCACTTCCCACTGATCACAGCTTATTAACTCCCTGAAGCTGCATTCTATGGACATTTCATCAATAGCTCTTTTCTGTTCAATTAAGCGTTCAAGCATATGGAATGATGTATCCCACTTGGATGGAACATCTTGAATTAACGGATGCTGTGGCAAGTGATATTCTTTTTGCAGTTCTGCCAGTTTCTCTCTGGCTTTTGCTGACCGATGAACACGTTCACATATCTTTCTTGCAATACTAAGCAAGTTTTGAACCATCCTCTGGCTTTTAATAGCTTCATTGACTATGAGGTTAACAGTGTGACCGAAACACTGGACACTTGAATGATCCCCTTCATTTAAAGTTTTTTCTATAGTCTGATTATCTGTAACAGTAATCCCAACTTGAAGCCCAACAGATGCAATCCAAGCTTCCCACCAATATTCTAGTTGCTTTTGAATGCTGATACCACTGTAGTCACAATCAATCTGCAACACATTTAAGAGAGCTGAACAATGGTAATCTTCACACTGTGGTCGAATCCTAGACTCAAATGTCACCCAGTGAGCAGTAAGAGTCAAATATTCCCGGGTTTGATTGCTCATCCATATTCCAGATGTAAAATGTACTACTCCACTTTCAGCTTCTTTAAGATGTGAAACAATTATCTCTTTGACATTATCATACATATTGGGAATTGCAGTACGAGAAAAATAAGATGGTGAAGGCAACGAATACTGAGGCTGCAAGTATTCAAGCAGTCGATTAAAGCCAATATTGTCTACAAAAGAAAATGGCTGAAGGTCAAGTGCAATCATTTCAGCTATGAGACTTGTGATTTTTTTGGCAACAGGGTGACTGTCAGAAAATTTGTCACTAGCTTCATCAAAAGATGATGATCCTAAGAGATCAGTGTTGAGTGGAACATGATTATTTGTAGATGAGGACAATACTGGCTCTGAGGCATCTGGTTTCAGGACATTGCTATGAAACCGTTGTAAATGTCTTAGAAGGCAACTGGTTCCTAAATTGGTTGGCTTTTTCCCTCGACTTATTGTACGTCCACAGTGCATACATATAACTTTAGTTGAATCTGCAGAACAAATTGAAAAATGATTCCACAGTTTTGAGGTCTTTTTGCTACTGATAGGAAAGATAACTTGAGTATCTCGAGTAACCACTCTCGGCAAGTCAGTCAGTTTTGAGGATGAGCATTCTGCAGAAGCCAAGGTAGCATATGGAGAATTTGCTAAACTAACATCAATAAAGCTCTTCTGGATCCCAATGACCTCAGGGTGACGCCTATATAAGTGTCTTGTCAAACAGCTTGTTCCTAAATCACCTTTCCTTCCACGATTGATCATACAACCGCAATGTCTACACACAACTTTTAGACTATCCCCTGGAGACAAAGAAAAATGATGCCATACTTCTGATTTGAGTTTTCGCATCATCCGTTTATTCTGATGAAAAACAGAGCCATTTTCAAATATCAAAGGGCTTTTTTCAGGTGAGGAAACTAAAGAAGCTTCAGCTACATCTTCAGAAGATGATAATAATAATGGGGAGTCTTCCATGAGAGTATCACCCAAAGGGATATTAGAATTGTTTTCTTCAGCCATTCTGTCTGGAGAGGAGCATATAGAAGTTGGTTCTTTAGCCATTTTTCCAGGGGATGATACAGAAGTTGGATCACCATCTGAAGGCAATAAAGGTGGCAGTAAGGTTGGAGGAGCAGAGTACAAAGGAGGTATGCTTGAGCCACCTCCATTCTCTTGCAGAACAATAGAACGATGGGCTCTCCACATGTGTCGTATTAGACAACTAGTTCCAAGATCTTTCCCATTCTTTCCTCTGCTGAATTCATTCATACAGTGGATGCAAACAGCTTTTGAATTATCCAGAGGAGACAAATAAAAATGCTTCCACACAGCAGATCTTCTTCTGGAGCCAGATGTACCTTTAGGTACCTGAATAGTTTTCTCCACTATATTTTCCACAATTTCTTCACACTGGTTGTTAGGAAAGTGTTGTGATAAACCTACACCACTTTCCTCTTTATTGCTCTTTTCAGTATGTGACAGATCTGAGGGCATTTCTTCTTCAGTACAAATTACAGGAACAGATTCCTCAGTTATTCGATCTGGGGATGGAATCTTAGAAACTGCTTTCTTAACCAATTTTATAGGGGCCAACACATTGGTTAAATCTCCAACATCTACAGGCTGGGGTGATATTAATAATGGAGGTGAAGAAAAAGAAGATATTGTTGGTATACTTCCATTTTCTTGAATGAGCACAGTGGGATGAGCTCGCCTCACATGCCTCATTAGACAACTTGTACTTAGATCTTTTTCATTTTTACCCCTGCTAAACTCTTTCATACAGTACATACATATTGCTTTAGTGCTGTCTCTAGGTGATATAAAGAAATGGTTCCAAGCAGGTGACTTTTTACGGGAGCTTATATTTCTGCTTGAAAGAAGGCTCTGTGTTACAGCTTCCATTGCTACATCATAAAGAGTACTGCTGTACTGAGAAAACAGAGATCCGTAATCATCTTCATTTTCTGCAGAGATGTATTTGCTTGAATTGCTATGAATGAAATTCCTTTCTCGCTCATCCTGTTCATCACTACTGTCTGTCTGTCTTAAGTCTTCTGGCTCAGTTTTTATATCCATTGCTTCCAGAGCACAATTGCTATCATCTTCGAGTTCTACTTTTAAACTGTTGATCTTATCCATCATAAAAGTGTCACCAATTTGTAGAGAATCTGCCTTATTTGTATCCATGATTGATGAATTAATTCTGCTGCGCCTTCATAATTGAGGAAATACTTAGAAATTACTTAAATTTGTTTTCTTCTATCACGCAGGAGAATATAAGTGTGGAACATGAGTTTGTATTCTAGTTTGATGGAAATGTATTTTATACAAACTTATGAAAAAGCATTTTGTTTAATAATTCCATCTCTTCCCAGGATTTTGAAGTATTCAGATCATCTATTATTTCTAACAGTTGTTGGTATTAAACGATTCATATTCTGAGAAGAAGCCTGAGGACAGAAGTTGAGTTTCTTCCAAATAAATCATATACTCATCTCAACTGTATTGTATCTCTTGGCATCATCTAGAAACAAGATAAAACAAAATATGTAAATTCACTAGTGCAGGCAAGTTTCTTTAGTTCCTTAAAATGAAAGTATTTCCAAACAATTTCCTTCTTAGTTCCATGTAAAGCCTATAATTATCATGATTCTTGTAAATAAGAAAAGGTACACTATTTGTACATTTAAAGTGATTTGGGCTATAACTGTAATAAATCCCAACTCATAGTTGCCAGTCGCTGAATTAAGGAAAAAAGGAACCGTGATTCAACTTTTAGAAGAAAAGGGATCCTATAAAAGTCTGCATGGAGAATACATCTGAAGAGCTATTATTACATACTGTTTCTATTTCCTAGGATACAGCTATCTAATTTAGGTTTAGGATTAGCCATGATTATATTGACTGTTTAAAGTCCTGTCGTTAGCTCTTACTTTGCTTTCAGTAAATTTCTGTGCCAATTTACCAACTGTTTCTAGATGTACTTTTGCTTACAAAAGTGATTTGATATTTGAGATATGTAAGCCAAAAGTCACCTTCGTCTCAAAAAAACCAAATGCCTCTAGAACATGGCCATATAGCCCGAAAAAACCCACAAGAACCTAGTGATTCCAGCCATGAAAGCCTTCGACAAATGTACATTTTTGGACTCCCAGCACGATTTGCTTGTAACTCTATTAACATACTGTAGTTAGACACTCTCTCTCTCTCTCTCTCTCTCTCTATATATATATATATATATATCCTCTTCTTCAGCACATAATATAGAACCATGATGAGTGATAAGCAGTACAAGCTCATTAAAAAATACATCAAGGGGACATAATGATAATTTGAGGCGCTTTTGCAAATCAGTACTAGGGCAGCTATCTGTTTAGTTTCTGTGGGATGGGAAAGCAGAACAGGCAAGGTTACTTTTGTGGTTACTGGGATAAGATTTGATCTGTTTACCATTTCAGTCCAATCCTAGGCTGCCTGCTTCCTGGATATATATTTTCCCCTTCTGATTTCAGTTAAGTTTGTGGCAAAACACACAGCCCCCCTCCTCCATATTCTCTCATTCACCAGAACCAGAGTTACAAAGATTCAGGAAGTCCATCTCTACAAAGAGGTATAAAGCTGTACCACAGCAGAAGACAAACCTGATCAACCTGGCTCACTGAAAAGCTATGCTCCATTTCCATCTTCACCTCTTCTACCGCTGCCATCATCTCTTAATTTAAGGTAGTGGGAAAATCACCAACTCCCCCCCCCCCCCCCCCCCCAATACTCCTCTGGTAACTATATTTGTGTAATAGGTGAATAAGGTTTATTCTTAGCAATTACAGCATGTCTTAAGGTGCGTGCACAATGAAATGTGAAAATGATTCAGTTTATACCACATGCATCAAACACAAGACCTGTGGGCAGAATCTGCTCTGCCACATCGTATTATGTGGCCCACAAGGCTTTCAACGGCAGAGCAACATACCAGTGTTGTATACAGTGTTACAATTACAACAAGCACTTTGAAGGCAACCATAAGGCTGATGTGGCCTTTGTTGAAAATGAGCTTTTATGCACTTCAATCAATAAACAGTATCAATTTTATATTCTCTGTCTCTAGTCAACAGCAACTATGAAAAAAGTGACATTCACCGAAACAATACACTTGATCCTGTATGTGCAAAGTAGGCATTAGCTCTTATAAAAAAGTAAGAGTTTTTATCCAGCACTTGGATACATAAACAAAAATCTTAAATCAAGGGTGGAAATCAGGTGGCTACCCAAATGTTCTTGCAATGCAGCTCCCATCATTTCCCAACATTGGCTATGCTGTCTGGGACTTAAAAATCCAACAATCTGGAGGAATATCTGATTCTCTCTCCATCCCAAACAGACATGCAATTAGCTTTCATTATTTTCTTTGCAGCTAGATTTATATAATTGACATGGTTTTTGAGTTCTCTATTCCAAACCTCATCTAAAAATTAGCATATAACACAAACTTGTTGATAATGTTTTTCTCCTTGATACTAACCATTTCATATACAGATCAAGAGAGCCATTTTTCTTTTAGCATTCCTGTTCAACCGTCACAAGAAACTTAGGGTTCGATAAGCTTAGGATTGGATGCTGTAAATGCAGCAGTAGCTTGAAATGCCGGGTTGTCCCTGGCATGGTCTATTTTGCAAGTGACAGCTTCACTAGCACCAGATTTATTGCTAGTAGTCTTGTCTCTTGCAAAAATTAATTCCTCATTTTATGCCAAAGTCCCTTGTTTTGTGGACTTTGCAGGCCATTTACTCTATTTACTGTTTCCTAGGATGTTTAGTATGGTGAAATGCAGCATGCATACCATAAGACAGAGAACATTGGTTCAAACCAGGCAGGCATTCATTCCTACAGTAGAAAGCCTTGTGGTATTCTCCCTCTCCAACAAGCCAGAGGCGAAGGCATGACCAAAATCAGATCACCAATAAAATAAAATAAATACAAATTTTCTCCCAGGTTAGCCAAACATCTTTAAACTGGTAATGGCTTGAAACATGTTCGATACACACTTGCATTCAATGAAATTCCTAGAATCAATATTTAACCTACCTTACAATGAAGCTCCACATAAATAAAGAATCGTGGCAATTTCACAAACTAGATTTGAAAGCACCAGCATTGTCTAAAATCCTAGGAAAAGAAATGTATAATTTAAGTGTTTGAAATCCCTACTTTCATATGGAAGTAGATGAGATATAAAACTTGGAGCAAAGCACAATTTTCCACAAATGATAGTAAAGTCTTGTTAATAAGTTGGCTTGTTAACTAATTAACATCTTCTCTGTCTAGATGAAAAGTAGAAACTTCAGTCAATTCCCCCAAATTGTAAGGTTTAAATCTTCTCTCACAATGCAGATAAAGAAACTACAGTTACAATGATATTCATTCAAATACTTCCACACACACACTCATGATTTTGATTATCACACCTAAAATTCTTTAAACATCAAGTTAATTGAAGAGAAGCACAAACATCCCACTTATTGCTTACTAAAACTGTTCACTTTAAAAAAGAGATGGATGAGTTCTAGGAGGCAAGGGGCCAATTGCTGTAGTAGGGGCCATAATGACTCTACAAAAGCCAAGAGGAAGACTTCTGTCCATTTCTGGTTTTTCCAAAAGGAATGAAGAAATTACAGCCAGGTCAAAGAAGGTACAGTCCCACCTTTTCTCAGGGCAATGTGTACTCTCTAAAAAAAAGTAGAACTGTATCTTGTTTACATGGGGAGTTGCTATTCCTAGAGCAACAATAGTCATTTCTTCAGTCCAATTATTTTTCTGGCAAGAAAGATGTAAAAAGTCCACAAAATAACTCTAGAGCACCCAAATGGAAAATCTGCCTTTTTGAATCTTAGGGCTTTAATTGTTAAAAGTAGTCCTATGACTTGTGTATATTGCAGCAGCTTTCTGGAATGTTTTGTTTTGTTTAGGTTTTTAAACACAACTTTGTATGTTTTGGGAGAGATAGTTATTTGTTTATGTATTTTTCTTTTGTACAGCATTGAATGTTTGCTGACTTTGTTGTTCACCATCCTGAGTCCCTTCGGGGAGATAAGATAATATATAAATAAAGATTAATAATAATAAGACTATCAATTATTTATTATTTTTATTGTTTCATAAGTACTACCTACTCTGGGAGCACGTATTATATAAATCATCATCACTAGTGTTGTCATCTTCAACATCACCACAATTTGAACTGGAACGCATATAAAATAAGAAAAATACATAGTTGTCAAAGTACTCACCTACTATATTTGGCCCACTATCTTTTACCTAGCTTCATTTCTGGGAGAATCTCCAGATCTGGAAGTGGTGAGGGTGAGAAGGATAAGGGATCGAAGAGGGGAAAATAAAATAAAATTTTAATATAAAACATGCTCACTGTTTTTAGCCCCACTGCACATAGATACCAACCATTCCTCTTGCAATCAGTACTACGTTCAGATATTAAGTACCAACCATGTTGTCCATTTCCCCTAGCATCCCTACAATCTGGTTCATATGGCCCGCTCTTCTCAAAGAGTTTTGCTTCAGCTTTTGTCAATTATTTCCTTGAGTTAACTATGCTTTGAAGTTTGGACAATACATAGAAGTGTCTGTGTCACAGCTGTATGAGAAAGAACCAGAAAGTTAGGTCCAAGCTAGACCCCTTACCACTACAACATACTGGGGTCTATTGTGATAAAAAAGGAGTATAGCCTCCCTCTGGCTTGCATATCACTCTGATAAACCATGTTTTATTGAATCACCCGACTGCAGCCAATATGCTTGCGATTCCACAATAGGCACCCTTCCCTGTCAATTAACCCTTGGATTAACAGTTTCATAAGAAGTAAATCTGGGTTCCTTTTAATAAATCAAGTCAATATAATTTGGACAAAACTGATGAGTAGACACAACTGATGTATGTTTGTACGGTATACTGTGTTTTCAAAAATCACTGAAAATAATATGAAGCCACTGCTATCACTAACAAAATGAATATAACTGGGAAACAGACTCTTTTATGGTTATTGTTAATAAATTTTGGGCTAAAAGTAGTCCTAGAGGCTTTATAAAATTACAGTTTTTTTAAATCTGGTCAAGAATGTTTTGTTATGAGCAACTGCTATACTTCTCATGAGTTTCCAAAACACACACACACACACATGAGGCATTTTGATAATACTCAGACTTCAACAAAGTTACTATTATATCTGTGAACTTGCTTCATAAAAAAATCAGCATTGGAAAGAGAAATACTGTTTCTGACTGGGGACAATCTATAAATACGTGGAAGATAAATATAGTGATACATTAGTGGCACACAAATGTAAAAATATTTGAGTCCCATTGTGGGAATAAAACGGGACAGAAATAAATACTATAAATGAGTAAAAATATACTCAAAACTGATTAAAAGTATTTTACAGCCTTTTTGTATATAAAGTGCTAAAAGTAAAAAGTACCCATAAATCAGGACCACAAGTTTCAATCTCTTGGCAAGGCAAACACTTTCACACATTCACCTTTATAATACACAAATAAAAGCAGCATGAGTCTGAATTTCAGAGAGGTGCTTGTTTCTCATTTGAAGGGGCACTAAGTTTCTCACAGGTGTGAATGTTTCTGACCATGAAAATAAATGCTGAAATAGGACTACGCTACTAAATTTTGTTTCAAAATTATTAACTGAATTTTAATGTTATGACATTTAATTCATTGTAATAAATTTTACTCCTTATTATCTTCTAAAGCAAGCTGGGTAATATGTAGGTTGCCTGTAATCTCTAAATCTATTTTTCTAGCCCCGGAAGCCCCTTTCCTAAAAAGGTTACACAAAAACAGATCATCACACCTCTGAATGCCTCCAGGAAAGCATGATTTTTTTCTTAAGTAACACTGGGACATTTTTGAGTGAAAACACTTTTTAAAACCTTGTAAGGTAAATTGGGAGAAATTGTGTGGTTCACAACCAGTTTAGGAGCAACAGTGGCTGCCAGTCCTTTTTTTCTCCCCAAATTGTTTGTCTGCTTTGAAGACTGTGATGCCTATAGGTAGCTGTTTTCAATTTAATGTGTATTTTGCATGAAGCAAGGGTTTTGTTGTAATCGCTGTAAATATAAAATCTGCGATGGTTGTTCCAATTATTCTGAAATTGCAATAAGGCTCTAACTCAGCTAGGATATGCCTGTAACCAAGGCTGAAATCCTATGTACTATTCTCGGTGACTAAAGCTGCATGAAGTAGGTTCTACTGAGACTTACATCTGAGTAAATATTAAAACAATGGGACCTGATTTACACACAGCTAACTTGTATTACTAGTTTCAGTGGGATTTGGGCTTCAATTCTATGATCTCACAAGGATATAAACCTCCCTAGATACAATGGACCTTACTTCCCAGTAAAAACAGTATACTGTGAGTGACAATAAACTTTAAATGTATGGAGGTCATGGATTGTGTGAATGTTCAGCATTTGCAAAAGCTCGTTAGTGAGAAATTGTACTCTTTTCACAGTAATCATCTGTCTACATCAGTGGTCCCCTACCTGTGGTCCATGGATCCCCAGAGGTCTGCAAGAACTAAAATACGGTCCACGACCTCACCATTAGTATACCATTGCAACAAGAGCGACTGGTTAGTGCTGAGGATGATTAAATATGGTTTTCTGTGGGCGAGTAGTCGGCAACTACTGAATGACATATGTTCTGTATCAGAAACTAGAGTACATGTGGTCTATCCAATGAAATTTGCTGAATCAGCACCCCAAATAACCAAACTGAATCTAAAGTTGACAAAAGCTGATTCGTAACCCTTTTAGTACTAATTAGCTGTGCCCTGCCACGCGTTGCTGTGGCCAACCTTCCCTCCCTCTTTCTCTCCTTCTTTCTCTCTTTCCTTCCTTTCTTCTTTTTCTTTCCCTATGTCTCATCTTTCTTCCATCTCTACCTGTTTCTTTCCTCCCTGCTTCTCTCCTTTCTTCCTTCCCTTTTTCCCTCCTCTCATTACTTCTTGACTGTCCCTTCCATTTAATAAGGAAATGAAGGGGAAGGAAATGAAGAATGGGAAAGAAGGAGGAAAGGAAGGAGGGACAGGAAGGAAGGAAAAAAGGAGGGGGGAAAGAAGGGAAGGAAGGGGGAAAAAGGAGGGACATGAAGGGAGGGAGGAGAAGGAAGGTGGAAGGAAGGAGGGGGATGAAGAAAGGAGGGAGGGAAGGAAATAAGGGTGGAAGGAAATGAAAGGGAAAGAAGGAGGAAAGGGAGGGAGGAAAAGAAGGAAAGGAAGAAGGAAGGAGGGACAGGAAGGAAGGAAAAGGGGAGGGAGGGAAGGAGGAGAAGGAAGGAAGGAGGGGAAGAAAGGAGGGAGGGATGGAAATGAAGCAAGGGAAAGAAGGAGGAAAGGGAGGGAGGGAGGAAAAGAAGGAAAGGAAGGATGGACAGGAAGGAAGGGAAGGAAGAGGGAGGAAAGAAGGGAGGGGAGGGAGAGAAGGAAGGTCCTTCATTCAAGCACCGTGGACCTTCCTCCTCCCCCTCCCCCCTCCCCTTCTTCCTTGCGTGGATGCTCCGTTGCTGCTGCCATTGCTGCTGCTTTCCCAACAGGTAGTGAGGGAGCCTGTGTGTGTGTGTGCCGCGCGGGGTGTGTGTGTGTGTGTGTGTGTGTGTGTGTGTGTGCCGGAAGGAAGGGGGCATGTCTTACTGGTGTGAGTGTGATTGGACCCGCCGCGGCGAAGGGAGGGGGCATGTCTTACCGGCGGAGGGTGGGAGGAGGGAAAGAGTGAGACAGGGAGGGAAGGGGTGGGGGGAAGGGAGGGAGGGAGGGGGCGTGTCTTACCGGCGTGAGTGTGTGTGTGTGGCGGCGTGAGCAGGGTAAGATGAAGGAGGGTGAGTTGCGATGGTTTTGACAGGGCGGGAAGCGGCGCGGCGTGAGGATGGGGGCGTGGCTTGCGCGGAGGGAACATTGGCCGCCAGGCCATGTGCGCGTGCCAGGGAACTTGCGGCTGGGTGCCAATGCGCATGCTCAGTTGTTTTGCCGTTTTGTGAGTGTGGTGTTGTGTTGTTTTTGATTTTGATTGGGTTTGTTTGTACCTAGTGGGTTGAGGTATGTGCATGGGAATTTTGGTTAATTTCTGTTGGGGGGTTTTTGAGTTTTGCTTCCTCATACGACGCCACTTCGGATTTTATATATATAGATGTTGCAGAGTAGTCCTTGGTCAAAGTGGTCCCTGGTTAAAAAATAAGGTTAGGAACCACAGGTCAACATGGTCCTTCTGATAAAACAACTGCACTGAACTATGATTCTGGAGATCAGGGTTCAAATTCCCACTCAGTCATGGGTAAGTCACACTCAACCTCAGGAAAGCTACAGCAAAGCCCCTCTGGCGATATCTTACCACAAACCCCATGATAGGTTTGCCTTAGAGTCGCTTTAACTCAGAAATTACTTCAAGACACACAACAACAACAAAGACTTTAATACAAAAAAGTAGCATTTCACTTGTATGATTTTTTCACTATGCAAGATGGAATCAGTTACAAAGAATAAAGCCAAATATAATACTTTCTTTGAACATCCATAGGAGAAAATTTCAATAATTAGCATGCACGCGCTTTTCAAATTCTAGATGAAATCACAGCTTTAACTGATTTTCAAGGTTGTAGTCGCACCTGAAACCTGGATCTTGTAATTTTTTTCCTTCACAACTAGCACTGGTTACATCACAGAGCCCCACAGGCAGTACATTTGACAGAAATTTACATGTACTGCACGAAGATAACATAGAAATGGGACATATAAGTGTGCAAATATTATTATGAAGAAGTGATAGAGATTTCAAGGTTTTATAAACTTTCTACAAGCTCACAAAATGCAGACTTGCAATCATTTGATATTATGCAAGAGGAAAAGGACAATCAATGATCTAGCATACAAAGTGAAAAAGGGCATTAACTACACTATCTGTTCTGTGCTTTCATTTACAATTAATAAATTGTTTTGTAGTTCAAAATACCAAGGTCCACATAATGGAGTAAATAATTCTGAGTTTGTTTATGCTGGTCTATGTTCAGGAGGTCAAACCATTGTGGAAAAACATACATTTTAATTTTAGCACCAATTCCTGGCTGAGAGTTTAGCATTAAAATGAACACATTATCATGATTGCAGTTATTGACTTTTGTTTTGAATTCCTGAACTCAATCAATACTGTGTTTAAAAGTTTAGAAATAGTTTTATACAAAAGCTGTCAGCAAGACGCTCATCTCTGTCGTTTCCTCTACACAAAGGCTGCAAAAAAGTATTTTCCTATTATGACATGCCATGAAGAAAGCAAATACTAACACTTTCACCCCATGAAGTGGAGTTCATTGGGATGCATGATGGTGTCGCAGGTATTTAATCTACCCACTAGGAAATAGATCAATCACTAGGATTATGAATGGGAAATGTCTCTTGGCAGTCTTCATAAGGTGCAATTTCAACTGACCTTTTTTTTTTTTTAAAGAACCACATTCATATGAAGTCATATAACACTATCAGCTCATGCCTCAGCTACCTTTAATCATTTAATCAAATAATCTATCTACTGACTGTTTTGACTGACAGCTGCTTTCCAAGGTCTCCAGCAGAGATCCCTCCTAAACCAGAACCCTTCCAGACAGGCTCTATATCCCAGGATCTGATCCCAGGTTTTCTGTTTGGAGGAGAAGTTGGGGTTAAAGGTGGTCACCAGCAGTTTTGTGCATTAGTTGAGCAGAAGAAAACGGAAATAAACTTCTGCCCATTGTGGAAAAGATTGTCCTTTGTGGCTGACAAGGGGCCATTTACACAGGCCCTATATACCAGGATCTGATCACAGGTTTTCTGTTTATCCCAGATTATATGGCAGTGGGGACTCATATAATCCAATTTAAAGCAGAACACCTGGGATCAGATTATGAGGTACTGGGCCTGTCTGGAAGGGCCCCCAAAACTTGGGAAGTTTGTAACTGAAGATGGCAAGGACTTAACTTGGGAATTCGTGCCTAGAATCAGAATGCTATGTAACATTTTGATAACTCATCATAGGTTTTTTAAAAATATGCTACATTTCCCTCACACTGACAGAGACTTTTCCCCAATAATACACAACTCTATGTTGGAAACATTTGCTGGAAATACATGAAGCGCTTTGAGTGTACCAACTATACAAGGGAAACAAGACACCTAGAAATCCCCTAAAAGCACAAGATCCAGCCTGGTTTTGGAAGCTAAGCAAGATCAGCCTTAGTTAAGATTTGGATGGAAGACTAGCTACAATACCAAATGCTGCTGACTGGAGGGCCCTTCCACACAGCCATATAACTAAGAATATCAAGGCAAAAAATCCCACAATATCTGCTTTGAACTGGGTTATCTGAGTCCACTGCCATATATTCCAGTTCAAAGCAGAAAATGTGGGGTTTTATTCAGCTGTGTGGAAGGGGACCCAGGATCTGATCCCAGGTTTTCTGTTTATCCCAGATTATCTAGCAGCGGGGACTCATATAATCCAATTTAAAGCAGAAAACTTGGAATCAGATCCTGGGATATAGGGCCTGCCTGGAAGGGCCCCCCAACACTTGGGATGTTTGTAACGGAAGACAGCAAGGACTGAACTTGGGAATTCATGCCTAGAATCAGAACACTAACATTTTGATCACTCATCACTAAGTTTTTTAAAAAATATGTTAAATTTTCCTCACACTGACGGTGACTTTTCCCCAATAATACACAACTCTAAGCTGGAAACATTTGCTGGGGAGACATAAAGTGCTTTCCCGGTGGTGCAATGGGTTAAACCCTTGTGCCGGCAGGACTGCTGACCAAAAGGTCAGCAGTTTGGATCCGGGGAGCAGGGTGAGCTCCTGCCTGTCAGCTCCAGCTTCTCATGTGGAGACATGAGAGAAGCCTCTCACAGGATGGTGCAACATCTGGGCGCCCCCTTGCAGACAGCCAATTCTCTCACACCAGAAGAAACTTGCAGTTTATCAAGTCGCTCCTGACACAAAAGAAAAAATGAAGCGCTCTGAGTGCACCAACGCTTTGAGTGTGCCAACCATACAGCAAAAACAAGACACCTAAATCCCTAAAGGCACAAGATCCAGCCTGGTTGTGAATGCTAAGCAAAGTCAGCCTTAGTTAGGACTTGGATGGGAGACTACCAACAATACCAAGTGCTGCTGACTGCCTTTCAGAGGGAAAAAAACTGGCAAAACCAGTCCTTGCCTAGGAAATTCATGGGGTCGCCATAAGTGGACACACAGAGCGAGCAGAAACAATCCTTTAAACAGTCCTCCTGCTTTACTTCTTAAGAGGATTAAATGCTTACTAAAAGCACCCTTCTACGCCTTGGGGAAAGGGGGGAACAGGTTTCCAAAATGAAATAAATGAAGAAGCAACTGGCTAGGAAGGTGAAGTTGTTGACAAGGAGGAAAGGCGTGGCTGCTCTTCCCCATCCAACCCACCTCCCCTTTTCCCCTTCCCCCCAAAGTCAAAAGGAAGGCTTGAAGTTGTCTGTGGGGAGGCCCAGCAAAGCCTGACAGACTTTGGGGGCATTAAAGGTGTGTTGTGGGGACAGACATACATATATGCACACACACAAACATATACAGCCTTTAGGGGCACTAAAGGTGTATTGTAGAAAAAGATATACATATGTGTGTGTGCATATAAATACACACAAAAAACACATATGCAACCTTTAGGGGCACTAAAGGTGTATTTTGGGGAGAGATTACATATATGTGTGTATGTGTGTGTATACACACTCACACACACATATACAGACTGTAGGGGCACTAAATGTGTGTTGTGGAGAGAGATATACTGGTACATATATGTATGTGTGTGTGTATACACACACACACACATATATATACAGACTTTAGGGATATTAAAGCTATGTTGTGAGAAGAGATATACATATATGTATGTGTATATACACACACAAATAATAATAAAACTTTATATATACAGACTTTAGAGGCACTAAAGGTATGCTGTGGGGAGAGATATACATATATGTATGTGTGTGTATACATACATACAGACACACACACATATATACAGACTGTAGGGGTACTAAAGGTGTATTGTGGGGAAAGATATACATATATGTATGTGTGTATATATATATATATATATACACACAAATAATAAAACTTTATATATACAGACTTTAGGGGTACTAAAGGTATGTTGTGGGGAGAGATATACATATATGTGCGTATACATACATACATACACACATATACAGACTTTAGGAGTACTAAAGGTGTATTGTGGGGAAAGATATACATATATGTATCTGTGAATATACACACACAAATAACAATAAAACTATATATACAGACTTTGGGGGTACTAAAGGTGAGTTGTGGGGAGAAATATACATATATGTGTGTATACATACATACACACACATATATATAGACTTTAGGGGTACTAAAGGTGTATTGTGGGGAAAGATATACATATATGTATCTGTGTATATACACACACAAATAACAAAACTATATATACATACTTTAGGGGCACTAAAGGTGCGTTGTGGGGAGATATATACATATATGTATGTGTGTGTGTATATATATGTACACACACACAGACAGACAGACAGGCTTTAGGGGTACTAAAGGTGTGTTGTTGTGGGGAGAGATATACATATCTGAATGTGCGTGAGTGAGGGAGGGGGCGAGAAGAGCAAGCGCCTCGAAGCCAGACAAAGCCAAGCGCGTGCTGCTCTGCCCCCCCAAAGAAGGGAAGTGCGGCCCAACGGCTTCCCGAGGGTCTTCTTCCTGAGGCGGCAAAAGGGCAGGAGGGAGCAGAGAAAGGCCTGAGGAGGGGGCAAGGCAGCGCCACAGAGCGCCCCTCTCTTCGGGGTTCCCTTCAGGAAGAGGCCCTTGCAACGGGACTCCGCCGCCTCTCCTCCTTCCGCGCGACCCCCGAAGGCTGTCTGGCTGCGGCGGAAGGATCCTCCCGCACTGAGGCCACCACGCCGCCTCAGCACAGCCCCGGCTCAAGAAAGCCTCCGCGGTCGCGCTTTCTGTTCGGGACACACACTCCCTTCCCACAGAGACTCCTCAGCGGGTCTTTCTGCTCCCTGCTCACCTCTGGGCGCCGAAGCGTCCCGCTCTCCCCGTCCGCGGCTACAGCGAGGGCTCCAAGCGGCCCGTCCCATTCATTGCTCGGGCGGCGCTTTGTCTCCCGCTGCCGCCGCGACGCGATGCTCGGACTAACCCCGGCTCGGCTGCGCGACGGGTCTCGGCTGCGCATGCGCCGCGCTTTGGACTGCGAGCGGGGAGGGAGGTGGAGCCAGGGCATGTGGGACGACACGCCATCCGCGCGGAGGTCACGTGACCCTCCTCCCCCCCCTTTGGGCACGCGCCGCCGGCGCAGCGAAGTCGCGTCATCAGCGACGTCGCGTGCCACCCTCGTCGTCGTTCGTCCTCGGGGATTGCTCAGGGAGACCAAAGCGAAGGACGTCGTCGCGACAAAATGGTCGCCGCTGAGGAGGAACTGGGAGGTGAAGGCCCGCTTTGAGGGTTGGGAAACGTCGCTGCTGGGATAGCCGGGAACAGACTAGCCTTTGCCTGTTTTCAATCTTCAGTTTAACAGTGGCAACGACAGAATGGTTGCTTATAACCCTCTGTCACTGCCCCCCCCGTCTTCCTTTGATAGGAAGGAATTAAAGAAGAAGACCATCTCGGGAATGGGAGGAAAGTGCTTCTCCGTTTCCCCATCAACTGTTCACTTTCGATTAATCATCTTTCACCCCACAGCTTCAGTTGCTTTAAAAATATCCCACTCTTTCTCCTCCCTCTTTTCCCTTTTGTCCTTGCCTTCTTCCACACAGCCATATAATTCAGGATATCAAGGCAGATAGACCACAATATCTGCTTTGAACTGGGTGCCCTTCCACACTGCTCTATAATCCAGAATATCCAGGCAGAAACCCCACAATATCTGAGTACACACTGCCATATAGTCCAGTTCAAAGCAGATAATGTGGGAGTTTATTCAGCTGTGTGGACGGGGCCATAGATAATATAGGATTTTCTGCCTTGATATTCTGGGATATAGGGTTGTGTGGAAGGGCCCTAAGTTATCTGAGCAGGCATGTAGCCGCCCCCCTCCCTCCCTGAGCATGTAGCGGGGGAGTTCACAGGGTGGTCTACGAGAAGGCCTTTGTTGTTGCTTCGTTCAGTCATTTCCGACTCTTTGTGACCTCATGGACCAGCCCACGCCAGAGCTCCCTGTCGGCCGTCACCACCCCCAGCTCCTTCAAGGTCAGTCCAGTCACTTCAAGGATGCCATCCATCCATCTTGCCCTTGGTTGGCCCCTCTTCCTTTTTCCTTCCACTTTCCCCAGCATAATTGTCTTCTCTAGGCTTTCCTGTCTCCTCATGATGTGGCCAAAGTACTTCAACTTTGTCTCTAGTATCCTTCCCTCCAATGAGCAGTCGGGCTTTATTTCCTGGAGGATGGACTGGTTGGATCTTCTCGCAGTCCAAGGCACTCTCAGCACTTTTCTCCAACACCACAGCTCAAAAGCATCGATCTTCCTTCGCTCAGCCTTCCCTAAGGTCCAGCTCTCACATCCATAGGTTACTACAGGGAATACCATGGCTTTGACTAGGCGGATCTTTGTTGCCAGTCTGATGTCTCTACTCTTTACTATTTTATCGAGATTGGACATTGCTCTCCTCCCAAGAAGTAAGCGTCTTCTGATTTCCTGGCCACAGTCTGCATCTGCAGTAATCTTTGCACCTAGAAATACAAAGTCTGTCACGGCCTCCACGTTTTCTCCCTCTATTTCCAGTTGTCAATCATTCTTGTTGCCATAATCTTGGTTTTTTGACGTTTAGCTGCAACCCGGCTTTTGCGCTTTCTTCTTTCACCTTGATTAGAAGGCTCCTCAGCTCCTCCTCGCTTTCGGCCATCAGAGTGGTGTCATCTGCATATCTGAGGTTGTTAATGTTTCTTCAGGAATTTTCACCCCAGCTTTGCATTCATCCAGCCCCGCACATCGCATGATGTGTTCTGCATACAAGTTAAAAAGGTTGGGTGAGAGGATGCAGCCTTGCCGTACGCCTTTCCCAATCTTGAACCAGTCTGTTGTTCCATGGTCAGTTCTGACTGTTGCTACTTGGTCCTTGTACAGATTCCTCAGGAGAGAGACAAGGTGGCTTGGGATGCCCATCCCACTAAGAACTTGAAGGCCTTACTGGTACATTATTTAAACTGTTGTGTTTATTCATATCATGATATGATCACTATGCTCAATATGTCCCATATGCATGGGGGCATTGGGGTAACGATACAAAAGGTTTGCTAGACCCTCTTTCACTCAGACTCAGCCCCCCCCCCGAATCAAAATCCTGGCTACGGGCCTGACCCCACCAATCGTGGCTCTGGCAAGAACGTGACTTTGGCCCCTTCCACACATCTGAAGAAAATCCCACATCTGCTTTGAACTGGTATATATGGTAGTGTGGACTCAGATAACCTAGGGCCCTTCCACACAGCCATGTAACCCAGAATATCAGGGCAGAAAATCCCACAATATCGGGGCTATCAGAGTCTACACTGCCATATATTCCAATTCAAAGCAGAAAATGTGGGATGTTATTCAACTGTGTGGAAGGGGCCCCAGTTTGTGGGATTTTCTGCCTTGATATTCTGGGTTATATGGCTGAGTGGAAAGGCCCTCAGTTCAAAGCAGATAATATGGGGTTTTATACAGCTGTGTAGAAGAGGCCCTTGCTTTCTGCAAAGAAGTGGAAGAGAAGGGCCCAATTGACTGTGGCCCCTTCTACATTGCCATATAATAATAATAATAATAATAATAATACTTTATTTATACCCCACCACCATCTCCGCGAAGGGATTATATGGCAGTATAGACTCATATAATCTGGTTCGAAACAGATAATCTGGATTATATGTAGCACTTGAAAGGCAAGGATTTGTGGGGTGGTTTCCAGTTCTTTGAATGCAATGAAGGTCTTTTCCATTAAATTAGAAATTCAAAAGTTGTACAGAACATTGACAGAAACTCAAAAGTTCTACAGAACATCCACACAGCTGTATGAAATCCACATTGAACTAGATTATATGGACTCAGATAATCAAGTTCAAAGCAGATATTGTGGATTATCTGCCTTGATATTTTGGGTTATGTATATGGCTGTGTGCAAGAGCCCTGAGTTACAGCGGATGTGTAATAGATTAGATGTGTTTACCAGCTTTCCTCCTCAGAGTCCCATTTCTCTTTTTCTAGGTATTATTAACTACCTCCAGAAAAAAGTGATCTCTATATAATTTCTATGTAGCCATTATCATCAAATCCCATTCATGAATGAAATAAAATACTTGGACTTCCAAATTTGCCATAGAAAAGTGATTGATTTACTGGCTATTATAGATTTTCTGTTGTCCTTTCTATGCCTACTTTTAGATAAAGTCTATTTAGTAAATCCTATTAATATTTACTCCACAGTGTTAAGTTGCATAGATATTTGACAGAGTGGTCCAGTATGCAGAAATGTCACTGGGTCTTCATAACATTTGAACAGTATGAAGTCCCTCCACATTTCCAGCGTTGAGTTTTCTAGATTTGATTATTCACGGATTTTATTAAAAATGTTCTTTCTGGGAATCTCAAGATCCTCCAGTGTGACTCTATGGTTAACTCCATCCAGGTCATAACAATTACTAAAGGGAACACCCCTCTAGGAAACTAGTTCTCAAATGCAGTTCTATTATTATCAAGTGAAGTTGTTGTTGTTGTTGTTGTTATGGTCAGCTGCCTGCAGATGTCAACCAGAATCATATTGGAAAAGCTAGACATTCCTAGAAAATTGCAATTGCTTTATTCATGGCATATCACTTTTATGGTGGGTCTTATGTCCCTAACTGGACAATTCTAACTTTTCTATTTCACTGTTCCAATCTGTATGTTGGCTTAATATAACATGACTCCCATCAGGTTGGACTCAGCCTTGCAATTAACTGGTTGCTGGTTTGGTGACACCCAAACTTTTCTCAGGTCAGCAGGTGTGGAGTATTCATCTTTATGAACCCCAACTACTGCAGTGTTTTTATAATGTTCAACAACATTTTCTCCCTTCATTTAGGCTGCATCCACAATAAATTAATGCAACATAACACCATTTTAATTGCCATGGCTCAGTGTTTTCCTGGCATTTGTAGTTTGGTGAGGCACCAGCACTCTTTGGTAAAGGAGGATAAATTACAATTGCCACAATTCAGTGATTCCATAGCATTGTGTCATGGCAGCAAGTGGTGTCAGACTGCCTTAATTTTCCAATGTATATGCAGCCTTAGTTGCTGAACTAATTACATGACTTTGCCTGTATAACCCAGGTAAAATACAACTCTCATTTACTTGTATGCAAAAACATCTCAAGCATACAAATGTCTTGGTATATGAAAGGGTGTTATCTGCTTCATAACTGAAAGGTGAGCACATGAGTGGGGCAATGAATCAAGGATCAAGGACTTTTATGCCAGGAGAGCAAGAAAAGTGAGAGGGCAACTATTATATGGTAGTTTTGCCTTCCAGGATCCTTAAGTCTGTGCTATTTCCAGTTGTAATAACAATTTTATGAAGTACTTGCAACAATTCTTGCACAATTCCAGTGGCCACTACATCCTAAAAATTGAAGGCTCCATATCTGGATGGATACACACACAACCCTACCATATTATGTTCTAGGATCACCATAAGTCAGAAACTATTTGAAGGGAAAAACCAACATCAGTGATAATGCCTTGTTGACATACGATATTAGCTAAATGTATCTAAAGATATATCTGGAGCCCCTGGTGGTGTAGCGGGTTAAACTGCTGAGCTACTAAATTTGTGGTTCGAATCCAGGGAGCGGGGTTTACTCCCGCTATCAGGCCCAACTTTTGCCAACCTAACAGTTCAAAAACATGCAAATGTGAGATCAGTAGGTACTGCTCCGGCAGGAAGGTAACAGCGTTCCATGCATTCATGCAGGCTATATGACTTTGGGGGCATCTACAGACAATGCCGACTCTTCAGGTTAGAAATGGAGATGAGCACCACCCCCCAGAGTGTATCTCCTGCCACGAACCATCACAAAGTTTAAGATCTTAAGGAGCGGCCCTGCTCTCCATCCCACCACTATCGCAAACACAGTTGATGGGGACGAGAGACAGGGCCTTCTCACCAGTGGCCCCCTGCCTGTGGAGCACCCTCCCTAGAGATATCA